TTTTTTTGGTCCCTTTCTTCATGTACTGTGAAGCTAAAATATAAAAAAATATTTAAAAAGTTGAAGATGTAACCATCATCCATTCTATTACTCAATCAAATGCCCTAGGCACTAGGTCACCCTGTCTTGATTCTTGATATGGCATCCCTATATTTTATCAAAGATTTACTTGTCTCCTCTCTTTTTTATGCACACATGTGTATTTTTGGCAGATGCGAGAGCTTTGGCCGGCCTACAGGCATATACCGTATTTAGTTGTCTAACTGACGTGCTGAAGGTAGAGCAGTAGCATGGCAGGGAACGTTTGATGCAGCGGACAGTTGGGCTGATTTTATAACGGAATAATATGAAATGTGGACATAATGACAACTTACAAACAAAAAGCGAAAGATGCTATGGCAAATTCAAGGGTATGAAAACAGGTATAGAGTAATGTTTACATGAACCACAAAGCCAAGTCAAATGTCGTTCTTCAAGCATTAGTGTGGAACATGGCATTCGTTACACTGAATCATCTCGGATCCATCATCTGCAAGGCGGCATACACAGTAGACATTCACTGTCTGGGTGTGAGGGGGCGCAAAAATCTTCTTTGTGTTCTGATGGGAAAGGGCATTAGGTGCTTCGTCTCAAAGCAGGCCAGGAGATGTTTTTCGCATTTTGGATTGGTCGAAAGTGACTGAGGTAGGCTCAACTCCAGCACATTGTCATATCCATTGCTCTGCCACTGTACATCTATAACAAACTCTTGCCCTGGCTCCATTTTGGCAGCCGTCACAAATTGAACAGTAATGTACTTCTTCCTACGAACTATCCAAACCCTAAATCCCACACACTACACACAACATAGTCTATACCCAAGTCCATGTATTTCGATACCCTACGAAGATCCTGCCCCCCTTCACTATCACCAGTCTTTCTGCACTGTAGGCAGTCTCTATAACTATTCTTTGGCACCAACCTCAAGTGAAAACCAGTAGAGTATTGCACATGACAGCATTGCATTCTTACAAGCAGCCCAGCAGTAAAATCTTATCCTGATTTTTAGCCCTAGAAAAGCATGTCACAATGTGCTCTTCTACCTGTAAAGATCAGGATAAAATTTTACTGCTGGGCTCCTTGTAAAAGGTAGTATGAATAAAAAAAAACCAGCTTTGGGCAGGCAACCACCAGACTACCCGAATCATAAAGTAGCTTCAAGGATGAGGTTGTTACCGTTCGTGTGTTAATCTCAAATACTCTTGTTTCAGGTCCTTTAGCTTTCCTAAACGGATAATAATAATTACTTCAGTAAGCTCAGTTTATACCCATGCTTTCTCATTCTATGGAAATCCTATATATGTGCACTAGGCCCCACCCACCTAGCTAGAGCAATTATTGTAGTTGGTTACGTTTGTGATCAACGTGTGTCTTTTCTGGATCTGACTTGTAGAAAACTAGTCCGCTTGCTTGTCTTGTATACACTGCCTGTATTACAGCCAAGGAAGAGATTACTATTCAGCTCTACGAGGACAAGACATACCATTCCTTTCCGTCTGGAGGAGAGTTCGGCATCAATGACTTCGTATTCCTTTATCTACAATGCAAATTGAAAACGTGTAGGGTCCTACGGTGTTCAGACACTGACCTTTTCCTCTAACTGCGCGCGACGGTCCATTTTTCGCGCTTGCGTATATATATACAGTGCATGCCGGAATTCCGTGCGCATGCGTCAACAGTGCGACTACCAGAGACGCAAGTGATATTATAGGTAAAGCATGGTCTTCGGAAATAATAAAAACGAAGTGAATTGGATGAATCAGGTCCACAGGGTTGTCTGGATATGCAACTTGAGTGCAGCCTGATGCTCTGGAGACAAGTCGGGAAAGAAGTTTATTCCAGTGGCTGATTCAATGTCAGCAACAGTAGAGAGACGGAATTTTAAATATTCAGCAACATCCTAGGAATGATTTGGGATAAAAATATATGATTCTGTGCATCACATGACCCAGCAGGCAGTTATTATACTTCTGTACTTTCTATTTCTGCTCACATTCTCAGTCATTGTAGCTCTTATGGGGGGCATGCTCTTGTGGCTACGATGGACACATACATTTCTTATAGAGGTGAAGTTTCTGTGATGTAGTAGTAGACCCAGGGCCTCCACACTGGAGACTGGACATGTGGTCTCTGTACAGCGAGTCACTATGCTGTAGAACCCACTAGGAACTGCAACACTGCCTTCACCATCCAGCCAACTGGCATGAAACAAACGGACTTTGCGGCTAAGATATCCAAGCAGGAGCAGTCCAGACTCACTGGTTGTAGTCTGAATCAGGATCTCTGTGGCCATTGCCATCTGAGTCCAGCAGACAGCCAGTGATGACATGCAGTGTACCATAGACATCAGTCCAGTTCATTAGCTGCTTCTCCCATTCAGACCATATCACTATAAGGACATGTCATTTTACTTTGACTCTTGAAAGAGTCTTTACAAACAGTAAGAGAGTGCGTGACTGACTGTTGTAGTAGTTGCTGAACTGAGGTACTGCATTGGTGATGAGTGACAGATACGTCAAATCTGAAAATAAAACACAAATGATTGGTGAGCGAAGCAAGCCTCTTTGTCGTCTTAAATGCACGGTTTGTACCTATGTTCCGAGTACAGCACGGAATTGAAAATTTGTAATGCGTGTGCATCATAATATGCTGCTGCGTGACTCAGTATGCTTCAGTGTTTGTGACTATCGTGTAATTAATGTACACATTAGACGTGGCTACTGGCTAACCATCAGTGGGAGCAAGGTGCGTAAGAGTATAGTCAGTTGAGGTGCGGTAGTCGCCACACTGCAATGAAGATATCCGTGGATCTGCTTGATAACATTCTGTATCTCCATCAACTGCTTGTAGCCACATCTAAATGGGTTGTTAGCACCAACATATGCAATGTAGCCATACAATCACAGGCATGTAGACACACATAATAGTATATAGGTTTATATTATCACCTCTACACCAAACACAAAGTTGTTCCATCATCCTTGCACCAGGCTTGAACTAAGTACTTTTTGGTAAGTGTTTTCCGGAATGAGCTAGTTAATACACCAAAAAGCCTATACAGTTACCCGCTTAGAAATATAACACATGTGAAATAAACCAAGGGAACACACTTGATGTGAACACTTCACATAAGCCTTACCCGTCAAATCTGTTATGCAAAAGGAAAGGTATGTAGCACACCCATGACACTGACAAACCAACCTGGTTGTTGAGTGAAAAAGCCACCCAGAGTGGAATGTGAAGGACCGTGCTAAAGAGAGTCACAGAGTGTTTGTTGGTGAGTAGACATGCCCCATCTCCCTGGCCACCTCTGGGGACTCCATATGGGAGGTGCATGCTCTGGTACCGAGCAACTGGGGAACAGAGAGATAATACACCTCGTGAACGGACAGCATTTATTCTTTATCTACCAAGAGTGACACTCTGGTGTGACACAATTACCTTAAAAAGGCAATGCACAACAGGAAGAAATAACCTACTCACTATCTACCTTCAGCAGATGTAGATAGAAGTTCATTATTGTCTCCACTCTGTCATCATAGAAATTTATCACCATACATTATTATGTATGCGCATAGTCGATATAATGTACCTGACAGCTCCGTGAACAAAAGCAGGCCTGGCAGACAAAGTTGCTAGGTAGAGCACAATCTGCTTTCACTCCCACTACACCTTCTTGTTCCGCAACTTTATGTGAACACATTCAGAGCAAACATTGCAGCACAGTGCCTATGTATATACAGTACCTGGAGGGATCATGTCTGCTACATCTGGTTTCAGCATGTGATGCAAGGCTCCAAATGTACCATTATTGTCGCTAGGAGTAATGTTCAGAAGAGCTGGCAAGGTGAGAAATTGTATCGTCTGTAAACACGCCTTACTTAATCATTATACAGTTTGAAAGTTTATTCCCAGTCTCTCAGCAACATTAGCATGCATATATAGTATGCACAACAGCATAGGCGACTACACCCTGCACCTGCACAGTACATAGCTGCACAATGTTTTTACTAATTCCTGCTTGCAAACAGGAAATACTACTGGTAGGCAACTATTAGAAGTAGTTCAGCAAGTAGGAACTGCAGTCTGAAAGCACAGTGGCTCTGTAAAGGACAAAGAATAGTCTACACAGGCAGTGGGAGAGGATCATCATGCCAGGGTTCCGAAAGCTGTTTGTGAGCAGCCCTCCAGAGGAGCTGCTGTGTGCCAGCTGTGGGTTAGTGGCCAGGGACCCCTATTGCAACAAGTGCAAGTGTGAGGCACAGCTCTACTGCCAGATGTGTATCAGAGAGCTCCAGAATCGCTTTCCAGTCTGCTCCACCTGCTCAACCACTCTGGAGAGCTTTGCAGACAGCCTGAGTGCCCGCCACATAAGAGCCATCAAAGTGGAGTGCGACAACAGGGAAGATGGCTGTGGATGGAAGGGACAGCTGGGAGAACTTCTTGACTCACATCAGCAGTCTTGCCCCCACCAGGTGGTCGAGTGCCCCTACTCCGACATCGGCTGCTCAGTACGACTCAGGAGGCGAGAGGCTGAGGAGCACAAACAGCACAGCACAGAGCAGCACCTCCAGCTGGCAGTCTCCAGGATCCAGAGACTTGAGGCCGTGTCGCTGGTTCCCCCAGTTGTGTTCAAACTGGTGAAATTCAGTGTCAAGAAGGCAAAGAACGAACGCTGGAGGAGTTCAAAGTTTTTCTCTCACGCCGGGAGATACTGCCTGTGTCTCAGTGTCGATGCAAATGGGAACGGGGAAAGCAAGGGGAGCCACATCTCTATGTATGTGAGACTTGTAAAGAGCCCCATGGACTCCCAGTTAGCTTGGCCATTCCGAGGAGAAGTGACCATCGAGGTTCTCAACCAAGTCGAAGATGGAGGGCACTTCTCTAAAACTATCCTTTTTGACTGGAAGGGAAGCGATGTTCGTAACTGTGTGGCAACGGGTCCTGAGGCGAGTGGACGTGGCTGGGGTTACCACGATTTCATCTCTCACAGCATGCTGAACTACAGTACTGCAGCCAACACTCACTACCTCAAGGACGACAGTCTGTTTGTCCGAGTGGCAAGTGTAAGAGTCTATGACAGCAACAAGCCGTGGCTCACTCCCACACTTGTAGACTAATGCACAAAGGTGTTCAGATACAGCGCTGTACATCTAAAGTGTGAGACTTCACGTGTATTACAGTTACCATACATGTCACACTACAACATCGTACTATAACATTGTGTTTAGGTCATGTATAACGTGCATCGCCAAAGTGTGTATGTTCAACAAAAAGACTAAAAGTTGTATCTGTTACTTACCACACAAGAGGTTGTATACTTGAATATTATCAAATCCTGGAGCAACATAGCCCTCTTTGAAAGCTGGTCCGCGAGCCAAAAAGAATGACTAAAAAAATTTAAGCCAAGTTAAAAAAATTGTAATGCAACATGTACATACCTGCATACTAACTTGATTGTTGTCATAGCCATGTTCTCCCAACGGCACTTGGGACCCCCTGTAATGATTAATTACCATCTTCAGTTATCTTGGACACAATATCAGAAGGCACTCCAGATTTACAGTAACGACACACTTCAAAGTGCATCTGTGATGCCCCTCCACAATGTAATGCAGCCAACGGTTACCAGTGCATTGCCTGAAGTGGTGCAAGGGATCTTTTCTTCAGATGAAGTACAAAAGATGAAGAATTAAAAGCATAAATCCTAAACAATGTTTCATGGGGCCTGTGACGCTAGGTAATTTTGTTCTAATTATTTGGCAATAACCAGAACACTAGTTTTAAAAAACTCACGATTTAGGTGTAACATATGAGCCCAAGTCTCCAATCACGTAAATATCACCATACCTCCTATACAAGTATATGGAGACAATATGTTGTGTCTGGGAGGTGAGACAGACACCTCATGTTCATATGGTGTATGTTCGTGTGTTAACGGTTCCGCCCATTGCTCTGGGTGCGTGGTCTATGGCCCTAGTGCTATGGCAGCCACCTGAGTATTATTATTATTACAGTGGCAGATTGAGGTTTCGACTGACTGTTTATTGTGGTGTCCTATATGGAGCCTCAGTGGCAGGTCATCCAGGTAGAGCGCCTGAAATGGAGCTCCAGAAATATTCTGGTAAGAAGAAAAAACAATTGGGTGAGAGCAGTATCAGCACACGGATACAGGTAAAACGATTGGTATTCACTGGAAGTGCAGCAGTTTAGTCTTGTGCCAAGAGCCCTAATACATGTATGTATGTACGTATGTATGTGTCATGCTGGAAGGTGAGTTCTGACCTGAATTGCAGCATACACAGCTTCCACTGCCATGTCATTACCTGTGAGGAAGATGCTGAATTTATTTTTAGGAGTGGGAGAGTTTGGTGACTAGAGGATCATGAAAAACATTAGCAGTGCCAGTCATACCTCAATTCTGCAAATGCAGAGTGATATGCAGGCATGTCCTAATGACTTGCACATGCTGTTCACACATGCCATGCCACTACACCACCAAAAATACTACAGGTATGTGATCACTAACCATCACCAATGTTGATGTTCATGGTGACTCCATAGGTGGGGTAAGATACACTGTCAACGTATTCTTCAGGAATATACTGCATGAAAACGGAGAGTGTAAATAGATCAGAAATGTCTCACTGCTCACCAGTGGCAGGAAGAATCTCTTGCTGGGATCTGAAGCGACCATTCCTAAAAAGAACAGGTTTATGCTTACTCAATACACATAGTAGTTCAATACTTTGACATCAATGTTAAGGTAAGGTTAAAGTCGTTATAAAGAAGGATACAAAATAAAAACTGGCGGACCAGCAGAAAATGCACCCACCGTGATCTGACACAACAATAACGTTGATGCAGTCATAGATTCCTCTCATTTTCAGTTCCACAATGAGGTCTTCTATGACATCATCCACCCTACCTAGGGCCGCATCCACCTGTGACATAACACCAACCACTGCTAAGGCATTGCGTGATACAGCAAGATCTGTACAGTCCTTGCCTAGATGCCAGAGTGTCAAGGGTTCGAATCCTATAGCTACCCAGGGCAGCTCTTCTTTTTTCCTTGGAAAAATTGTCCTGGGTGTAGTTGACTAGTTTGCTTTGCCTTTATACCTTGTAGTTGACACATGCATGTACTGTACTTCGTTTGGAGTTGGGCGTCTTTGGTGGTGGTTTATCTGCTCTTACATCCTGAGTGAGAGTGCACTGTGCCATAGCACAGTGGTTTGCCTTTAGATTTGAACCCCTACCAGAAGTTTTGCCCTGGTAGCTCAGTTGGTAGAGCACTTGCCTACACTGTGGGTTCGAATCCAACTCAGGGCAGCTCTTCTTTTTGTAGTTGACACATAAATACGTAGGTTATCTTGACAACACACATGTGCATAGTGTGGGAGTGTGAGAGTTAAATGACCTGTGTACGTCCTAGATATGCATGAGCTCACCTGTACAGAGTCTGGCCCAGCCTCATGTCCAGCATGATCTGGTTCATTGAGGTACATAGTCAAGAACTGAGGCCTAAGAAAAATATTCACACAGTATTACTCATCGTATTATTACATACAAGTCCTGCAAATTATGGTCTAATGTAACCTGCACAACATTTATTGGTTTGATGGTTTATCTCACCTTAGAGTCGAAGGATAATCCAACCACTCCAATACCTTCAACACTCTTTCTTCAAATGAAACCGAGCTGCATTTCATAATGTAATGCATACAGTACATGCACATGTACTCCCTGTTGGTGCTTTACCCATCATATGGTTCATAGTAATTTGGATACATGCCTGGGAAAAAGCAATTTCAGTACGAATGATTGACCTATATTCTATTCACATACCACCGATGGGTGCATCAGATCCTGGCCAGAAGAAAGTACCTGATTTCAGTCCTTGTCTACTAGCTGTATTCCACACCTACGTACATATGTACGTATTATGCCATGTAAACGTGAACACAACGTACGGGCAATTATTTCAGGACAGCTAAAAAAGACCTGCCCAAGGTCACAACAGGCACATCAATACTAACCGGATCCCCTAGCCACCATTTGGGGTCGTTGTTGCCCTGGTAGAATGTGTCGTCAAGGGTCTTGTCATAAAAGTTGTTGTCTACAATTCCGTGAGACTCAGGATAAAGGCCCTGTCAGCAAACAAGAGTTAGGAGAACAGGTTTTGAGTTAGTGAATGAGTTTCATAGCAAACCTGAATTGTCCACATACAAACTTCTTGCAGGCAACAAACCTAACAAGGAGACTAAGGACCACGAGAACTGCTATTATGTACACAGACCCCAGGTATTAGGTTTTCACCCACCGCATTTTAGTGTGCACAAGCAGTTCAATTTTTCGCCGGGTTTAGAATGACGACCAAGAATCACGTACAACATTACGTGTCTGTCACATACAAGCATAGAAAAATCCTGCATTCATACAATTAGGTAGACTCGCTTCACTCGCTCGCCAAATTTTACCTAATAGGGATCCATGGCTTAAAAAAAAATGCGGTTATCATACCGTAACAATGGTGTAGTGGTTGGGAAAGGTCTTGGTTGGGTATGAACTCCTGACAAATTCAGCTTTAACTCCTTCTCTTGCTGAAATACATATGGCAATGAAATAACACGGAAGAAACAATACAGGTAATAATGCGGTAGATGCTGTCACTCCCCCCTAACTGTCTTCAATAGCCCATTAAGAGGTGAAATAGGGTGTGTATGTACAACTTAGTTGAGCCCAAGCGCATCTTACACATCGCTACATGTAACAAATACATACAGCAAGAAAACACTAGCCGGGGTAGGATTCAAACTTGGAACTTGGGGAGGGTGAATATCTTTCCCCCTACCGTGTCTGTATTACATGTCAAGTAGTGTGTGGCAAGCAGCACAGTTATCTCCTGACTGACAATAACTATACAGAATACTACAACATTACCTAATAAGACCGGTGAACGTGTTCAGGCAATGCCTTACACGTTTACGTGTAGTAAAAGTGGCCCTTACTGGACCTTTGTTTTCTCTGTATTTTCCCATTGTCTATACATTGCATGTAAGTAGCGTAAGTGGAACAACAAAGTGCTTTGGGGTTGTATTTTACCTAAAGTTGACAGAGTCGGGGTCAAGTTTCTTGCCAAATATCCATTCCAAAATCCATCCAGTGAGATCAACAGAACTGGAGGGTTTCCACTGAACAAAGTATATACCATACATCACAACAGCATAGTTACAATGCCCAAAGAAAAAAAAGGAGTTTTGTTGAACCTTTTAGTACAGTTGAATGGAACTTTGGACTCAAGCTTGGTATGAGTTCACCACCATAACTCTGCTAGCACATGAGGATAGTGCCTTTTAGCAAAGAGGCTGTGCATTTCTACACATGTGGAATGTGGATGGCTCATGTGTCAAGTAATACGGCAGACACTGACAATCATTAATCTTGGCAAGCACACATTTGATCAATGTATTTGTTGGTCACGAGAAAAGAGAACAGACTAACCAGATATCTTCCCGGGGAGTATTATTGCAAGGAGAATTTGGAGTGCTTATCTGGTCACTTCCTCCACCTGAACAAGGAAATTAGTATGTCACATTAAAGGGGATCTACCTGTACCTTCATTTGAAGAGTGAGTGCCCCTATTAGCAGTGAGGTTCCCAACCAGTACTCCCACACCAAAGAACGCAAACAGCAACAGAAGCAACAAACCCTGGCATTCATAAAAACAATAGGAGACCATCAGTGTACAAAGCCTAACGTTGGCAATGCAAGAGAGATGAAAGCTATGCCTGACAGACTAGACTGTATTGCATATATACATACAGGAAACATACACAAAAAAGCAAAGCACGCCATTGACAAAAGAAAAATTTGGATTCTTGGCGTGATTTCAAAGACTATGTATCAATAAATCAGGAAGCATAGCAAATTACACCACTCTCATCATACTGTCAGTATATAAAGCTTGAAGAAAATATTTTATTGGTATTCATGCTATACTCCGTACTCAACTTACAGTAACACTTCCACACACAAAAATGGACTTTCTCTTCACTTTCTTGGTAACGTACTGCAAGAAAAAGGACAGTACAATATTAGACAATAGCTATATAGTGCTAGCATCATTTGTTTCGACTCTTGAATAGTTGATTATGTCCAACTTCAGTCATCCACGACTACATGTTCTTTTGCAGCAATGACCCGGACAAAGTCGTTTCCACCCTCTTATACTCTTCCATACAAACATATTGCTCCCTTCCAATACTTCGTTAAAAGTGATTGATAGAGGTTTTGATCTTGCCTCTCACAAATATACTTCAAACAGGCAACGCCATGATTGGTTAAAGGATCAGTCAGACATGCTGCTAATTGGTGTAAGGTTCGACATTATGTCATATCAGCACAGCACCGTAGGTAAAATCGGCCCTTCGTTCAATTGCAGATTGAGTGATGTTTTTTGAAACTACTAGTGCATACAAATACCTGTGCATAAGAGGAACGGATAGTAGCACCACCTTCTTCACTATCGGATTCTTCATCACATGTCAGCGTTTGATCACTTGCTGGCTCAAAGAATGGGCTCTCCTGTAGGAAAAGGCCACGATCGGATGGACACTTAATTCCACACGACCGGTTGTCACCTCCAGCTCCATGACATGTCCAGCTGATTCTCTGCTGTGATCTCAGAGATCCGCTAGCTCTGTGGAACTTGCCCGGGTAGGATGTACACGCCCCTATGACGATTGATATTTACGCATGCGCAGTAGTCGCGCGCTTACCTCAGCTATAATTAATTATAGCTAGCTAGGAACACTCCCCGGCCCGCCCTAGTGGCTGGGAACGCGTCCGAAAAGTGATAGAGGAAATTAGCTATTTGTTACTATTTTATATACTAGACCGTAAGCTATAATATACACCAAGAATTTACTATGTTAATTTAAAAAGAGTGACATACTGCATGTGCACAAAGATTATTCAGTGGAACACAGTTCTTTCTCTAAATAGCCAACTGCATCTTGCATGCAGCACAACCCCAACTGGTTTACTCTGTACACTGCTCTGAAGAGTGCAATCAAACTAGCTTCATTGCCAAACTGTTGTTGCCACATTTCCAGCAATTTAAAGATGGCTTCTGTGAGACCTTCTTTGCTAGCAGTCAGTTGAAGACCGTCGATATCAGTGGTGCCCAGCCCAAGAAAACGCCCAATAAACTTCCAGTGTTTGTGTTTCAGTTTATTGGCCAAGTGAGTACAAACCATTCTGTCACAAAGTCGGTCATTGAGCCCAGGGAAATTTCGTGTCGGTGCATCACTACATATAAAAACAAAGTTTTTGAATCCAATGGTTCGTAAGAACTGCTTCAATTCTAGGAGATGCGGACGCTTCTCACTTATCCAGACAAAAAGGGCCCTGTATATACACTCTGTCATGTCGTCTTCTTCCTGGAACAGGCGCTCTTTGACTTTGTTTGGGTCAGAAACAGGTAATTGTTCAAAAAATGTATCTTCTTCTCTTACTTGAAAAGCTATTTCTGCTATTAGTTTACAAATGTCAGCTTCAAAATGAATGTTAGTTGAAGTATGTGTGGAACTCATTAAGGCAAGGTTGCTTTCTTCACTGCCCTGTGCTAACTCACCTAATACCTGGAGAAGTTGACTATCTCTAGTATAGACCCAGGATTTGATATGTATTTGAGATATTCGGGTAACTAAGGAAAAAGAAAATATACTATGAATAACATAGGCGATAAATAAAAGTACACACTTGATTTTTTGGTTGTGTGAACGGAGAAAAATAACTCTTCTTCAAGCCCAGTGACTCTTATATTATGCTTTAATGTAGCAGAGGATTGTTGATTTGTACTTTCAGCCTTAAAGTCAACAAATTGAGGGTTACTACTCCAACAGGCATCTTGCACAATATCCAGAGAAATCTGTAGCATACCACATGAATTTGGAATAAATAGACGAAAGGTAAAAAGATATGAAACGTAAAACCTTTGGTGTAGATGTGGCCTCCACAATCCACCCATCACTGATCCACTTCTCTGGGTAGAACCAGATTATTCTACTACTGGGGATGGCGGTACGCATCACACATTCAATATCCAGTCGGCAATACCTCTCAAAAGATATTGAATCGTGAAGAGCCTATGACACAAACAGGTGATGATTCGAGCTTGTTATGTTCAACTATACAGAACAAACCTACCTTTCTTCCAGTGGGGTGGTTAGGTGCCACAAGGAACCTGTTGGTCCAGCTAGTAAGGCACTCTGTTGGATAGCAGTAGGCAATGCAGATTTCATTACAGCTAGCAGCAGAAGGTCCTGCACCACTGGAGGCCTGATGTACCAGAGGGCTTGGTGCACTGGCTGTGTCATCAACGGCCCCTTGTCTCTGTAGGAGCGACCTTTGTGCAGGTGCATCCCTTTCAGTTGATGAAACTTGCCTTAGAAGATTCGTATCTGGTTGTGGGGGGTCTCTCTCAAACGAAGCTTCGTAGGAGGAGTGTAAACTTGAGCCAACACTGTCCCCTGATTGTTTACTTTTGATATTTTTCAGCCTTTTTCTCCTGCCATTTTTAATGCTTCTCCTCTGTTTATTGGTAGAGTTTTGTTTTCCCCGGGGAACGCCACGTCTAGCTGATCGGTATTTTTGCTTCCGTTTTGCTCCTGCCACAGCAGAGAAGTGATCCAGTTCAACCTGAACATAATAGTCCTCAGAGTAGTCAGCAGTGGTTATTATATCACAACAGAAGTCATATTCCTCTGTTTTCGACATGGGATCTAAGGCACGAAGAATTACAAAATCTTCATCATCTTCATCTCCATCAAAAATTACTGAGTGGGGTAGTTTCAGTGATACTGGTTTTACAAAATGGAAAAAAGGGTGGATCCTGAGGGTAAATATCGCTGTACACACTTCAAATTCCTCTGGTATTTTAAAATTCCCATTGAGATAGGCATGGGCAATCACTGTGAACTGCAAAATCTCAGGAGGCACTGCATCAACAGGTATATCCATCGCGATTCCATGTGTGGAGTCATAAATGATCCATGATTCTTGATCCTCCATTAGACTGTCCCTGTGGCAAAACTTGGCAATTCCTGGCTTTACAAACCCTTCCATTGGCTGGAGCAAGGACATAGCAGGTTCCTTGTCCGTTTTTCTTTCGGGAATGTGTTGTGTTTCCACAACTGATGTTATTTCTCTAGAGTATTCAGGTCTCGATACAAGTTCCGTTTCAGTCGCACCCGTGCTTGATTCACTTTCGGAAACAACACTCTCTGTATGCTGCACTGTTGCTTCAGCTACTGGAGTATGAAATTCATATCCTCGTACAACGCCCTCTTCCGGCGTCTCGGACTTCTGGCCTTTTCTGGCCATCTTTACAACAGCTCTTACTCTCCGTACTTGCTCAATATCAGCGTTAGAGATATTTTCAAGACCTTCGGACATAGTGTCGATGAGAATACGGTGACTTTTACATTCGGCGATCGCGGAGGCAAATGAATCGCCAAGGGCTTCGATGAAACGGATAAAACGCTCTACCCTAGCTTCCCTTAGGTACCCAAGTAGGAAATTTATATTATAGTCGTCGTTCGTCCGTGATGGAAATTTCGCAATCTCTTCGGCGAGGCTTTTAGGAATGGCTTTTCTGTTGAGAAGGTAGGGAACGGCTGCTTGAATACGGAGGTGCTGACGAAAAGCGTACAGGCGGTGAGCGCGGAGGATTTGGTGGTGTGGCCATTCACCCTCGTCCTTGTCTCTGGCGGCCATCTGCGAGCTAAGCTGGTAATACTAATGACAAAAACGCCCCAAAAGTGCTTGCGGTTTCACCAGGCTCCTCCGCGTGCGCATGCTCACCTAAATTTACGCGTGGGAGTACATAAATAAACGAAGGGGAACCGAGGGGAACCGAGGGGAACAGGAAACCCTCCGGGTCCATGAGTGTTGTTGGGGATTTGGTTGGGCCTTTGCGCCCTAGCTACGACGGTCCGGTTGATAATGAGAATATCTATCGCCGAAATGGTGGTTGCGGGGTGGTGGCAGAGGACAAGTTTTACGTCTGGGGCGGAGAAGGAGCCGAGCAGCGTCTACTGGATCCGGACAGCGAAGAGGAGGAGGATTTTTCCGTGGCCCAGGTGGGCGGTATCTGGTGTGTCACTGTCCTCCCTCCTCCGCGCGTCACCGACTACCCTTTCGACGTCTATGACATGCACGAATGCACTTGGAGCCGACAGAAGACAACGGGAGATGTCCCCCTTCTAGGCTTAGGTAGTTTACCCTGAATAATTTCATGTGTTATGGTGAAATATTATGCACCCAGGGTCGTCTCTTAACCATCATGTGCAATCTAGAACCATGTACCTCTTTGGTGGATGGAATTATGGCAACTTTGATGCAGAAGTGTACCGAATTGTTTTAGATGATTGGTGCTGGTTCAAAGTCGAGATAACAAGCACGATAAAGCCAATGGGAAGGTAGCCATGACTGCATAATGCCTTCACCACAGTTAACTCTATTCTGTAGATACATGACGGGAACCCTGATCCACGAGGACAGACTTTGTACTCTGGGTGGGGCGGGACTGGACATTACCCCGGATAACGAAAGTAATCCTCAAGACCCAGGTGCTCGCTACGAACAAACCTACTTCAAGGGTGCAGGATTTGGACTGAATAATGAGTACTGGGAGTTTGACATGAATACTAGTAAGATAATGTTTGTTGTGTGACCGATTGGAAATTATATTGAGACTCCGCAGATGAGTGGAGTGTGCCCTTGGGGAAGTTTGCCCAGAGACCAGACCCTCTCAACTGTCACTGTTTTGTCAAGTTTGATTCTTCCAGGGCCATACTCTTTGGGGGCGGATACAAGGGAGAGAAAAGAAATGAAACCAGGATTTTTAACCTCACGGAGAGAGTAAAATATTACACCCTCTGTATTCATGCACAATAGTTGCTTGGTATGTGTATCTTTCAGTTTCTGTCTGTTCCACTCCAAGCGGCAACATTGTTCCATATCTAAGGATAACTGAAGGTGCATACAGGCCTTGCTTAAATGCGTTTGGAGTTTACTGAGTAGTAGTTGTCTTGCACATACCTAGGCAGAAATGAATGCGAATGTGCAACATCATCATAGCCATACGTATGAAGTAGCATACATCATTGTCTCACAAGATTGTATCATGGCTTTTAGGGATCATGTGAGAGTGCCTGTATTTTAGTAATGATTAATGTAGCTATCTCCATTCTTCAGAAATTCAGTGAACCTTTGAAATTTTCGGAGCCTTGCCCTATTGGACGAGCCTTTACAACCCTCACACCACTGATTGACCCTTGCACTGTTAGACACAAACAAGGTTACTGCAGAAACCAACATCACTTGGTATTATATATGATAATGTGTTTTTAAAAGGAAGTGGTCCTGTACCACGTCAGATGATGCTGTTACTCTGGGGAAAGATTGACAACATCCTGACAGACTCGTGGATTCTTGAGGTGGACATAGACAACGAAGATGCCTCCTGGATTCAGGTTAATGGGAAGTTTGACAATTTTTTAACTTGATCTTTTTGTAAATTAGTTGGACATCAACACCTATGCCAGGGCATGGCATATAGCTGGCCCTCTCTATTACCCAAATTCAAATCAGTGCCGACTGGCAATATTCGGAGGGAATGTTCATTGGGATGGGTTTGTAGGGAGGCGACGGAATATAGGAGATGTGCGTATGGTTCAGTTTGGTAAGAAAAACACCTGTCACATGTTTCACTTGTATATAAATCTGTGCTGAATTTTTTAATGCAGGTGTTTCATCGTTGTTAAGATTGTGTGCAGGAGTTACAGCAAGAGAATTTGGGGATGTGTCTACTCTCATGGATGCTATTCCTCTCCACTCTCGTGCCAACACTGTCATAAACAGGGAACATGCAACTTTAGCTAATGCGACACCCATGCTCACAGCAACTAGACATCACACTGGCTCGGCTTCGCCTCGTGTATTATGACTATCTCAACCAGAAAATCACTCTTTCAAGCATCATTATTATTGTGTGGAACCTTTTCTGTTTTGTCATTTGAATCACTTTCTCATGGGGATTTGTCTGCGACAAGAGGGCCGGCTAATACCGTATAGCGGGAAATTTTCGCGGGTGCATATTTCGCGGGTTCGTCCATGGAGCCTCCAGCAGAAATTTTCGCGTTTTTTTATTTCGCGCACGCGCCGAACGTAAGACCACGCCCAAATTTTAGCAGCCAAGCGCGCGCACGTGTCGGTCACGTTCACACTTCCAGGGCGCCAGGGCTAGCTGTGTATAGTAGCGATCGTCATGGAATCTACCTATTATGTGGAAGCGATGATTAGAGGTTACCACGTGTACAAGTCGATTTGGACTGCAGTTGTTGAAAGAGGTCCTTTGGGGTCCGGAAGTGAGTCTGCTGCAGGTTGAAAATAGCGATAAAGAGCCATCGCGATCTCGATTCAGCTGCTGGCTTCTTAGCCCCGCCACCGCGCGTGCGCTTTTCCAACAGTGACGTCATATCTATTCAAATTTTCGTGGTTTTTATTTTCGCGCACATCTACCTGTCCGCGAAAAACGCGAAATGTTGCACCACGCGAAAATTTCCCGCTATACGGTATGCGTGAGAGCGCGCGCATGCGTACGTTGCGTGTATTGGGTGGGGAGGGCGGGGCTGCTGTTGGTGCGCTCTGAATGGAGCGTTGTTGCCGGCTCACTTACTCTCACAGCTATCTCTGCCGCAGAAATGAATCTCGAGGTAGTGTCGTCGACAAAGATTCACGGAAAGAAACCATGGCCCAACTTTGCTTGGCTGCAGAAGGTATGGAAAAGACTAGTAATCCAGACACTCACGCTGTGTGCGGGTCTGGCCTGCACCTGACTAGCTGAAGCCTAGTTTCGTTCCCAGTCCGTTTTTTGCACAAAAGGGGCCTGGGAGCGAGGCTAGCTACAGCCCAGCATGAAGCTATAATGTTGCACCTCTCCTTCTACAACAGTGGTTTATTTTTTTACCTGGGGGCTGACAACGAATAGCATGTCAGTAGTTACATCTCAGCTGCCGCTTTGGCTATAACTATGTAACTATCATGATGCAAACTCATCTGCAGGGTGGCAACCTTGGAGAGATTTTGTTTGTATTGGACAACAAACGGGTCGGCCAGCTCTCCCTGGATACTGGCAAGATCAGCCAGAGCTTCCCCTCTTTGTCTGGCGATGGGCTGGTGATGACCCAGACCTCCCACTCTGGTAGTGTAGTAGCTGGCCTCACAGAGCATGGCCACATGGTCACCTGGCTCCAGCCCTCTCACCAACTGACCACCTACACCACTCCCCTGTCTGCCCCGCATCCTCATCCACAGGACCTCAAGGGTGAGTATACACTAGCTCCTTAGCCAAGGTATCACTAAGTACGGTAGTACTTAGTATATAGGGATGACACAGGTTGTCCTGCATTATGCCCATACATTTGAGATTTTCATGTTTCACTTTCTATTTCAAACTTTTGACACATCAGACTTTTCAATTTTCTTCTTCTCGTTGTTGTGTATATTCCTCCACACAAGCCCTATATTGTCGCCAAGCATGAGTGAGCCCCCTCATAGAATGATTCATCTCTGAAGCACGTGATGCACAGGTGTTGCCCGCTCCTCAGTTTTTGGTTGTGACAGCATTGTGTGCCGTGAAAGACTTCCATGTTCGCTCAACTAACGATGAGTTTTACAATGCTGTGTTCATGGCCCGCCAGAGATATAGGGATATAGGTTGTAGCAGGGGGGTTGCCTTAGCCAAGGTATAGGGGGTTGCTCTGAATCCTCAAATAATACAAATTTATGACACTCAATGTTGAGTGCATAGATCTGAAGTGTATAAGGAATCAGGCATATCCCTTCTATAGTACTGTTGTTTCTGGCTGTCCTATTGAAAATTATGGTTGTGTGAGGAGTTACTTGTGCAAATTCAAAAGGTCCACCAAGAGTGTGTTTATTTAGCATTGATGTACAATACGTTACAGGATGCTATTTGTTTGTGAGTGACAGTGGAGAGCAGGCACTACTAATGACAGGGGAGCTGGAACTCCACCTGTGGGAGCTGAGAGATGGTCTCCACTCTGAGTGGTGGAGGTTGCCAGTTCCAGATGATGTCTCTCTTCCTCACACCTCCTCCAGAAACACTGCCATCGACGCCACCTTCACTGTCCATCAGGTGAGGAGAACAGTGAAAGCGAATCATGTTAGCACAAAATAGTATAGGTCATATGCAGACTAAGAATGACGGAGAAACACTGTAGAAGTATAGGTTTAGTTACCAGGGCAAAATTTAAACATACCAGGCTTTCCAATTAAACACGCAGCGTTGCACAGCCTGTTTAAAAACGCATGCTCCATGTGCTGCGGATTTTGCATATGGGGACAGCATGCACTCCATGCCTATAAGGCAAGTAGCCCCACTACCCTGTGCTTCTTCTGCCTGTTTAGTCTGGGACTAATAGTGAAATGTTGCACAGATACTGACAAACTGTTTCCATCTGGCTCGTAATTACAGAATTTCTTGGAAACCCGCTCTAAGAAATGTGTAGTTGAGATGTATGCATAGTTAGGACATACCATCGTAGTTTAATACAAATCGATAATCGTGCCACTCGGACCACTAGGTTAGCTACTCTCGTACTCAATAACCCAACACTGCTCTGTATATACATGATCATGGTGGAAAGCTGCGCTGTTTTCACCACATCAAATCTTCAACAATTTTCTGAAAATGTAACTAGCACTATGCCCTTCTCCTGCCTCAGGTGTTGGGAGAGTGCTGTGAGTGTGACATTGTCTTCACAAACAAGAACACTGCTGAAACTACTGTAGCCAACCTACTCCTCACTTGGAACACGTCCCAGTCTCATGTGTTCAAAACTGCAACCTCAAGTCCTTTAACAAACGAGCAAGTCTCTAGAATCAAGAAGACAAACGAGTGTAGAGACCCAGCTCCAGATACAGCTGCCAGAGGAAGTGCCTCGGCCTGTTTTAGTGGAGTGCAGGCTACCCCAGTCCCCTTCCCTGTGACTGTAGACTGGAAGTCATGTGCAGTATCATCTCCAGACTCATCGTCCCACCACTCACCATGTGGTAGAGGTTGCTATGTGGTAAAGTTGGCCCCAACAGCCAGAGTGGTTGCAGTGGCCGTCAACCACAACATGGCTGCCGACACACACATTTTGTTTATGGATCTCCTGAATGAGGTGTCTCTCTCAAGTCCTGTCTACCTCAAGAGCAATCGTGAAATGACTGGAAGGTACTGTATGTATGTGGGTACATAGCAAGATAGTTTTTCACAAGGTTGACATGTGCAATCACATTGCCCTTGTGACACTCCTACTACTAGTACATGAATGCAGAGCATTTTTTGCAAGTAGGAGCGAAAGACACAGAAAGGTTTTCCAACACTCTTTCACATAGAAAGAAGTGCGTAATCTAGATGTAAGCGCAGTTGAAGGACGTACCATTGTTACACCCTTATTAAGGGGGGCAGCGAAATTTGGGCGAGATAGGGATAGGTTCTGCGAAATAGGAGATGGTACCATTCCATTCTCCAACTGTAGTCAAAGTGTAAAGAATAGTTGGTTTGTCCCTATTTCCACTCTTTTGCCTACTGAAAATGCGAAATCGTTGGCATCTTTATTTAGGGGGGAAAGCGAAATTTGGGTGAGATAGGGATAGGTTCAGCGAGATGGAAGATGTTGCCATTCCATACTCCAACTGTATTCAAAGTGTAAGGGATAGTTGGTTTGTCCCTATTTCCACTGTTGTGCCTACAGAAAATGCGAAATCGTTGGCATCCTTATTTATGGGAGACAGCGAAATTTAGCGAAGATAGGGATAGGTTCAGTGAAATAGAAGATGGTGCCATTCCATCCTCCAACTGTAATCAAAGTGTTATGCATAGTTGGTTTGTCCCTATTTCCACTCTTGTGCCTACAGAAAATGCGAAATCGTTGGCGTCCTTATTTAAGGGGGACAGTGAAATTTTGGCGAGATAGGGATAGGTTCAGCGAGATGGAAGATTGTACCTCCAACTGTAGTCAAAGTGTAAAGAATAGTTGGTTTGTCCCTATTTCCACTCTTGTGCCTATGGAAAATGCGAAATCGTTGCCATCCTTCTTTAAGGGGACAGCGAAAATTAGCAGAGATAGGGTTACGTAGGTTCAGCGAAATAGAAGATGGTATCATTCCATACTCCAACTTTAGTCTAAGTATTAAGGATAGTTGGTACGTACGTATGTCCCTATTTCCACTCTTGTGCCAACAGAAAATGTGAAATCGTTAGCATCTTTATTTTGGGGGGATAGTACAGATCAACTAAATAAATAATAAATAAATAAAGGTGTCAACGATTTTGCCATTAAATTTTCTGTAGGCACAAGTGTTGAAATAGGCATCGTAATTACTTTGACTACAGTTGGAGTACGGAATGGTACGTAACATCTTCCATCTCGCTGAGCCCATTCCTATCTCTCCCAAATTTTGCTGTCACCCCTAAATGTAAGGGTGTCAATGATTTCGCATTTGTTGTTGTCACAAGAGTGGAAATAGGGACAAACCACTATAGGGATAGGTTCAGCAAAATAGTAGATGGTACCATTCCCTACTCCAACTGTAGTCAAAGTGTAAAGGATAGTTGGTTTGTCCCTTATTCCACTCTTGTGCCTACACACAATGCGAAATCATTGGCATCCTTATTTAGGGGGAGCAGCAAAATTTAGCCAAGATAGGGATAGGTTAAGCGAAATAGAAGATGGTGCCATTCCATCCTCCAACTGTAGTCAAAGTGTTATGGATAGTTTGTTTGTCCCTATTTCCACTCTTGTGCCAACAACAAGTGCGAAATCGTCGACACCCTTACATACGTACCATTCCATACTCCAACTGTAGTCAAAGTATTTAGGATGCCTATTTCAACTCTTGTGCCTACAGAAAATGCGAAATCGTTGACACCTTTATTTAGGAGGGACAGCGAAATTTGGGCAAGATAGGGATAGGTTCAACGAGAAGGAATACCATTCCATACTCCAACTGTAGTCAAATTGTTAAGGATAGTTGGTTTGTCCCTTATTTCACTCTTGTGCCTACAGAAAATGCGAAATCGTTGGCATCCTTTTTTAGGGGGGACAGTTAAATTTTGGCGAGATAGGGATAGTTCAGCGAGATAGAGGATGTTACCATTCCATACTCCAACTGTAGTCAAAGTATTAAGGATAGTTGATTTGTACCTATTTTTACTCTTGTACCTACAACAAATGCGAAATCGTTGACACCCTTATTAAGGGGGTACAGTGAAATTTGGGAGAGATAGGGATGTAGGTTCTGCGAGATAGAGGATGTTACCATTCCATACTCCAACTGTAGTCAAAGTGTTAAGGATATTTCGTTTGTCCTTTTTTCCACTCTAGGTCCTACGGATAATGCGAAATCGTTGGCATCCTTATTCTGGGGGGACAGCGAAATTTAACCGAGATAGGGATAGGTTCAGCGAAATAGGAGATGGTACCATTCCATACTCCAACTGTAGCAAAAGTATTAAGGGTAGTTGATTTGTACCTATTTCCACTCTTGTGCCTACCACAAATGCGAAATCGTTGACACTACGTGGAAAATTATGCCATTCTGACCGCTAGTTTAGGTACTCTTTTGCACTCACCAATAACACTTGTAACTTTGTATGTATGGTTTGTAATATGCAGGCTTTTTGAACATTCATGTAAGTGCCTACGATTATTTTCAGGACATTCTGGGTGACCAGCTTGTCGTGGAGTGGAGATGGACTCCTACTGGGGGCCATGACCCACAGAGGCTGCCTCTTCCTCCTCCCTCGGTTTGGCCCTCCCCTCAGACTCATTACCAGTGGGTGTGGTTTGGACTTGGGCCCCACCTACCTTCTACCACTTCATCCACTCATCACTGTCCAGTAGGTGTATAGGTGCACTTACAGTAGGATAAAACATTGCACCACATCCTAATCTGTAGTGATTTCCAGCGTTTAGATACACTCTGACTAACCAATATGGCAAAAATTGTGTGGGCAGCGATGTTTTTTTTTATAGCATCACGGCTGAAAAGAGCACTTGATTTTCTTTTTGGATTTTTAGGCCTTGCAATAGCATACTCATTTTCCATCGCCATACACTCTCTGCCGGTATACTAGTGCGCTATTTCACAGCAAACAAACAGTTCCTCGGGATCTTGGCCTTGAGAACCAAGAATGGTTCGGTTGCTATTGTACCAGTGAACTGTCACCACACACCGCACCATACGTACCTCCCTCACTATGTTATCCAACATTATTAGTACATAGGACTTTGTAAGTTACAGCACTTTAGCACTTGACAGCTGCAGTTGAACTACATACATAGGAAAATGGAGAGTGTATACCAAGTGAGTGAAATGATCGTTGTTGGCAAGCGAATTGAATCTTTCGGTTGCGTGGTTTCCTATGTATACCTAAACATCCCACAACGCCAACAGAATCAAGCATACTGTACGTACATAGGTGAAACAAAATATTTTGTCTACTGTGCACATGCACCTGTGGCTCTCATGTTCGCTCACCAAAAATGTTTTGTGTTCATTTTAGCATGACAAATGGTGACACATCTATATACATATATGGATGGTTGTACAAATGCATTTTAAAGACAGACACCTTATCCAAAGCCATGAAGTGTAAACTCTTGGCGCAGAACAAGCTGCTGCAGATGGCTTGAGTGTGCAGCCAAAATCACGCATGGAATTTGCATAATCATAATAAGTTAAATGGCATGGTTTCCAGCAAGACTCATAGCAGCACTATTGCGGTCAGTTTGTCAAGCCTGCTAGGCGGAATGCACTGTAATCACTGTATCATTTCTATACCAATGCCTCTCATTCGTGCAAGCTCATGTCCAAAGAATCACAGCTATGTATGATGTAAACGCATGCATGTCGGTTGGGTGGACCTGGCCTCTGAACGAAACACGCTATATAAGCCTTTTTATTTACTTCATACTCAATACGCTAGTATCCCGTTTATTTTGCACGTGTCATAGCATGTGTTGTTGCCTACTTAAAAAGTAAGTATGTGGCATGCTGCCTGAGCTTCCCTTTTGACAACTAAAGAAGCAAACTCAGCGCAACACTGCACGAAAGGGACAGCTACAGCTAGTTGCTACGTAAACGGCAACAAATTATGACATTGTAGTTGTTGCCTGGGCTTTCTTCGTGACCACCTGGGCTATATTGGCAACATAGAACCCTCGGGCATTATGTCACACCCAACTCATGATGCACTCGGGCCCAGGCAACAACTTGTACATGTGAGGAAGTGCAGAGAAACTTAAAAACCAAGTACTGCAACCCTCTAACTAGGTAGAATTTCACACTTACAATCAGTCATAGATAGGGCCCTTGATGTACACTTAGGGGCCATGGCCCCAATTCGTATAATGTACCTAACCTCACTCAGGAATAAGAATGTGGTGAATGTGACAGACCAGGAAAGCTCTGATGCTTCAGAGGTTGACCCACTACGACAGAGGTTTTCCGTGGCCACCCACCCCCGCCTCCCCCTCCTCCTCTGCTCTGATGGATACTGTCTCACTGTCCTCAAACTGCCCTCTGACAACCACTCACTCCCCCACCTAGTCTTTAGTCTTATCAACACTAGTCGCAGTCTCCTTGGTCTCCCTTCGATTATAACCAATGAAACCTGTAGCGGACTGGAGAATGAATCCCTGCTGTGCGGTGAGCCAGTCACAATGTCTCCCAAGCAAACAAAATCATTTGATGATATATTGACTCATCCTCGTGGTTGTGAATCTTTTCAAATGGGTACTCCTGAGTGGAATTGTGCAGCCTTGCTTGAGTTGGACAATTCCTTGGGGAAAATCAGCGAGAATGAAAGAAAAAGTCTTGCTAGAGCTCATCTAGTTTCTGCGTGGGGTTTATTGCTCTCAGCTAGCAGCTTTCAGCCAAGTAATGGGGTATACCCTGTATACTTGACTTCACAAAGTGTGAAAAAGCTATCTTCCGATATCCACATAGTGAAAAAGCTTGTCATGAAGACAATGATAGCAATTCCACACTCTGCACTTGAGCACGGCAGTCAACAGGAGCTTTTGGTCTCTGCTCTCTCAATGTCTTTCTTGGATCAACTAGATCAAAACTGTTGCAAGCTGGTGTATAATCTGGCACATTCAATCATATTTACTATGTTGTCTGATGTACTACAGAAGCATACAGTCTTTAGTTCATCTTCAACTCACACTGCAGCCTCTGTGGAAACGTATGCCGAGGACCTCACATCTAGTCTCCAGCAGCTCTGGAAGATGTACCAGAAGGTTACAATGTTGGTGGCTGAAGTATACAGCCTTCCACACAGCGATATTCAGAAGGTGTTTTCTCTGCCATTGTTGGCTCTAAGAACAACTTGCAGCATTCTATCGAGAGATCTACTGGCATGCAACAGGCTAGCAGAGACAATGCTACCTTCGGGACCAGGATCACTTGGTTTGCAGGGTAGAGAGGCAGGGTTGATGCAGGGAAGCATAGCTAAGTCCATCAGTGAGGTATCAGCTGTTCTTGCCAGCATCAGTGATGCTCTTGCTTCTTATTGTGATCAAAAGCCTGATGCAAATATTGTTCTGACAAGTTTCAGTACCTGTGAGCCTTTTCAGTCTAGGCACACAGAGGATGGTGTTGGCATAGAGAGGGTTCCCCACTTACTTCAGAAGTGTAAACTTCGACAGGCGTTAGAGCGTGTGTACGGGTTGATATGTGGGGATTCAGCCAATGTCTCAGCATGTCAATTGTCTGTGCCTGGCATTAATCTCGTTCCTTTTTCAGTTCTAGCTGGCCAGCTTGTTTCTCATCCTCTTCTTAATAGCATGCTTCATCTTGCCGCAAAGTTTATGGCTGCTTTCTTTTACACCAAGACTGCTAAAATTGTCTGGTGTCCCCTTCCTGTAGCTATAGGCTTCCCTGCATTATCAAGAAGGAGAATAGAAGTGGCCCACGAAACTCTCACTGGTGCCATTGCCAAGCATAAACCTCTCCACTAACTGGACTCCTACACATGCAGTGGAGTTGCTACTGCTTGGTGGTCTGTGGTACGAGGCTGCTAGAATTGCAGTGAAGACAGGTGATTGGAAGACGGGCTTGACACTCTGTGCTGTTATTATCACTCTGAGTAGGACCTTAGCAGACTATCAGTTAAGCTCCGACACGGCTAACAACGTTACCCAAGTAGACAAGTTTGCCCGCAAGCTCGCTGTGGGCAGGATACTCAGAGACTTAGTCTTTCTAGAGACAGAACGATGAAAACTGGCCCAGTAGACCAGACTGGACCAAACCTGCACCTCATCTCTGGGGTCCTGGCTCTCTGTGAGAGTGGAGGAGTGAGTGGTGTCTGTCCTCAGGTCAGTTTCCTCATTCACCAGAGGCTGTGGACTTCAGTGGACAGTCTACCAGTCAGAGTCTCGGAGGAATTCCCATTGCCTTCTCCTCCACTGTATGACATCTCCACTTCAACTGATGAAAAGGTAAAGCCCGATCACTGTATGCTTGTAAGCTTTTATAAGGCTACATGCACTTGTTCTTATTTTACTTTTTACTGGAATACAATTTTTTTAATACTTGACACCCTTCTACCTAATTTTTTCTCCAGAACTCAGAGGAAGGTCAGAATCGACAGACTCTGACTCACCTGATCAGGTCCGGTCTACAGATGTTGTGTGGGAGCAACTCTTTGGACCTGTGTTGTAGCTGGTACTCTAGTTCCCTGGTACAGCTACTCTCTGACCCCGGAGCATGTCCCAGTGTCAGAATCATGCCTAGTGTGGACGGCACCATCACTGAACCCGAAATGCCTTCCTTATTGCTCCAACTGTCAACAAATTGTACGTGTGTATGGGCACATCATAATTCTCACTTATCCTTATTCTCATGTACATAGTTTCAGGGCAGGACTTCGACATGTCCCACAGTGTCCAGTGTCAGCTGGCTCTATTCAGAGAGCTGTGCTGTCTTCTCTGGCTCCTGCATGTCAGAGATAAAGCCTCCCAACAACTGAGACAAGTGTTTCAATCAGACTTGTGCGAAAAGGTTTGTGAAACCCTCGAGACTTAGTCCAATGTAATCACCTATGTTTAACAATTGTTAGGAAAGTGGGTGTGAGTCTGAACAGACTGTGTCCGAGTGTGCTCTGTGGTGTGCAGACTCCTCCCCCTGAGCCCCTCCCACCAGAACCCCACCCACATCGAGGACATCCTCCTCTCCGTCTTATCAGAACTGCCCTGCAACCGGCTCTTAGTCACTCTTCTAGCCCAAACCTTTCCCGATAGCCCTCTGCTGGGCTCCAGGAAACTCAAGATGGAGCAGCTTCTTGCTAGAATTAGAACAGCAGTGAATGGGAGAAACGACAGGGGCATACCCGAGCCTTTCTCAGTTGACTACCAGATCATGAGTCGGGCAGTGCTAGAGGACCAGGCATCTGGCAACCTTCAGACCTTCAGTCCTCTCTGTGTCATGTCCGGCAGTGGTCAACACGAACTGGCTTTGAAGGAGAAGGCCTTACATGTTGGATCTTTTGTGTTTGAGTACGACCAGCACTACCTTGACTTCCTAGAATTGTTTTTCTCGTCCATTGCAAACCATTCAACTGCTTCATCCAAACCAGGACACTCACTGGAGCTATTTCCTCGGAACATTACTCATGGACGACAGAACACTACTACCAGTTCATTCCACCATGTCTCTGTCCTGTCACAGCCATTTAGTCAGAGGGAGAACTTACAGGACCTGCAGGCCTTGGTGACTTACTTCTATGAATGGTCTCAGAGAAATGACTCTAGGACACTGGATACTAGCCACGATAGAGAGCAAAAGAATGATACAGGACATCCTCCAATGAGAATAGAGTTGTCTCTCTCGTTCCTAATGTACTGTCTGAAGTTAGAGGAAGAGAAGCACGAGCAGAGATTCAATGGACATCTACTTCACCATCGTCACCGGAAATAGTCACTAAAGACACAAATGAAGGAACCATCACTACAGTTACTGATGAAACCATTTCACCATGTCTGCAGCAACGACTGCACTTGAGGACAACTCCTCTCTAACTACTGTCACTTCCGCACCAGACAGTGTGAATATTACTGTGACTGGTGAACTTTCCATGACCACCATCACTCCTCTACCAGACGAAGCCTGTGTGTCTTCTTCTGAGACCACAGTACCTGCTGACACAGACTCTACCATTCTCTCTGACTCTACACTGCATGCAGAAGACCTGGGTATCCCCGATGGAGCCAAACATCTTGGTCTACACCCACTTCCTTTACTACATTTGCCAAATGATGTGACCCTGCCTCAAGAAAAGGTGGTGCCTAGTTTGCAAGAATGTGTGATTAGCTAATGCTTTTTATCACTGCCACAGGATGGACAACCTGGACCAGCTATATCAGGGTCCACGCTCTCTCTCAGCTCTACCATAGCTGTGGATGATCTGACAGTGACCGAGGGTGTCACTTTTGCCAGCTGTGGTCAACTGATGTCTGACTTGGACCTCACCGATTGTCAATCGACAGGGGAAGTCCCCTCATTACTAACATTCAGGTATATGGTGTAGAACATGGTCATTAAGAACCCCTTACTCTCAATTTTCCCTTACTTCCTCCCAGTGTTGGTGAGTTTGGTTCAGGATTGACTCCTCGCTCCTGTGCCGATGTGCTACCTCTATCTCACCCAGCTCCACTGGTCCCACAAGGTCGTGAAGGTGTTAGGACCAACCAGCCTCTTCTACAACCACAGCTGTTGGAATATTTGCCAGTTGACACGCAGGAGAGAGAACCCACAGTGAAAGATTCACAGATTGAAAACCAACGTGACCACCCCACTACCCACCAACCAGCTCCAATAGAGCATCATGATGTCCAAGGTGATGATGGGCTAACCACAACAGCAAAGACCCATCAAGATATCCCAGAATGTAGGCCTTCTACAACAGCACAGATTGATGATGTTCAAAAACACCATAAAGTCTCAGACTACGGACCAGCACACTCTGATGATGTTCCTGAACCATGTAACACAGCAGAGACTATGAAAAACAATTCTGAGAAGGAGAGTAACCAAGGGAAAGAGATGGAAGAAAGCGTAGAACAAACTGATGGGAGAGAGATTGATGAACGTCTTGATGTTCCAAGTGGAATTGTTGGTGATCGCATTAGTCCAAAAAGAAATATTGCTGAGTTGACTTTCGGCGATGACAATCCCACTGAATTGAAGAGTGGTGACGAGAGGGATAGTGAGAGTGAACAACAGGGACCAGTGCCAGTGTGCAGTGAAAAACAAAATGGAGTAGAAGATGAAGGTGGTTGTGAAAAAGAAAGAGAAATTGGAGACCACCGAGGTGGAATAGGGAAAGATAACACTACAGGAGGAGGAGGAAAAGAGGCAGTAGGGGTTATTGGTGGTGATGCCACTGTCAATATAGGTAAGCTAAAAAGGAAGGAGCACCATGATCCTGTGGTGGAAATGCACCCTACCAGTGAAAGTTCTGAAATGGGAGAAAGAGGTTAGGGTATTTTTATCCTTGCATGTCCAGCCACCAATGAGTCCCTTCCTGCAGGAGCATCATTGGATGCTGATTCACCAACTATCCAGTCAACATCAGAGAATATTAGCAGGGACCAGAAAAAAGAACTGGGAAAAATTGTCAGATCTGAATTAAAGAGATTCTTCAAGGTATGCAAATTCATGTAGTTGTTTGACCTAAAAGAAGTCTGTTTGTTATAGGAACAGCACCAGCAGCTGATGGATATGTTGGTTGACAGTAGTGACGTCATAGAGAACAAGACCCCTGAAAACAAAACCAACCCTTGCAATACTGTTTCTAGCCAAGTTGCATCAGTCAAGTCTCCAGACTCTGAACACACAAGACATTGCTGGAGTTCCAGTGGTCATCTCTCTATGAGACACCTCCAGAGACCTCAGCTCCCTCTCCTTCTCCCCACAGAGCCTCTTAGACGGCCTCAGCTCACTCACTCCTCCCAGTCCCAGACAATCCACTCCCAACATATCAGTGGAGACCAGTGGACTCAGAACCTTGTACCAGGACTCCCTCTACTGCAGTTACATACAGGCAATGCCACTGGCAGTCCTGCATGTCAACTACCACAGCTTCCTTCACCTCCAGTGCACTGCAGGGAACCTGGTACCTTTCCCCTCCCACTACTGACTCTGGACCACACTGGACCAGAGGACCCTCTGCTGCCAAAACTCCAACACATACCAGTCTCACTGACTATTTTGTCACAGGCACCTTTCTCTCAGCATATCGTACCACTGCTCCAGATTCCTCATCCAAATCCTACGTCAGTGTGCCAGACAGACACACATAACACGTGTTTCCATCTTTTTCCTACTTTGAGACTGCCTCCCCCTCCAACCAGTGCTGGGAGGACACCAGATCTGCCTCTCTTGCTGCCAACACAACAGACTACACCACCACATCCTTCTCTCATTACACTCCCATCACCACCAGTACTACCACTGGATAAACTGCTGTCTGTAAATCTAGTGGTCAAAGGCTTTGCAGATGGCCAAGAAACCAAGACTAGCAGTATGAAGTTGCAGCAAGATATTGTAGACACTGAAAAGCAACCTGTTTTGCCTGTGAACAAAGAGGACCAAAGTGAAGAAAACATTCTTAAGACTCCAACTGAAAACAGGTGTGCCAACTAATGTATGGCAGTCACTAGGAATTGGCTTCTAATAGAGGCTGGGTAAGGACTGACAAAGCATTCTCTTCCTAGTTTGAGTACAAATTGGAGTACAAACTAAGTAGCTAGCTAGTACTCATGATTCTTTTTGTCCTTGCAGGAAAGAACAAACTACCAAAGAACAACACCAGCGGCGAACAGCCCCAACCTTAGACCACCACGAAACAGACTGTAATCCATTGCCTGAATCACTACCACATCCCCCAAGACCCTCGCTCCACCCTACACCACTCTCCCACACCACACAGAGGGCCAGGGCACCTGGGTCCCCCTTTTTAACCTCTGTCCCTGACACTGTCACACAAACTGCCCTTGGTGAGGATGTTCCTCAATCAGAGGACACCAATAGCCAGCAGCTCACTCCAAACAGTGCGGTTACAAGTAGTGAAAATGATGGTGACTCACTTGATGGGCTCAATCGACAAACAGGCAATAACTCACCAGAAATTCTCATCTCCCAACCACCAATAGCTGCACCTAGTAATGACGAAACCACCAATGATGGGGGTTTCCCCATCTTGTCAACAGATAACTATGGGACATTAGTGAGTGAAAGAGGTGCAACAAATGAAGAAGGTGAAGATAAGGCCAGGGAAAGTCCAATATACGAGGAACAAAGAACCAATGAAGAAACAGGAGATAGGCGAACCGGGGTATATGAAATGTGAGTAGAGGCAGTTCAACATTATAAAGGACAACTCTCAGTATATTGTGTGCTTAAATGTGTGATGCTGGACTTCATTTCACTTTCTGTATTAGGGTTCAAAATCAAAAGTCTACTCTGGAAGAGGAGGAAGAGGAAACAAGGGAAGATGACGAAAAAGAGACGAAAGACGGAGAGAATGAGAGCAGGACGACATCCATGGCCAACAGGGAGGTGCTGCGTCGACTGAGGCAGCTGGAGACCCAACTGACAGCCATTGAGACCAGGGCCCGGACTGTGGAGGGGGAGCTGCTTATCTCCAACCAGGTCAGAATGCATTATATCTGCTACAGTTTTATAGGTGATGACATGGTGCTTACTGTGTTTACTAATGCACTGTGTGCAGTGCAATATGTTGCTCAATATCATATTATCATTACAGCTCATCGGAACTATTGAGGAGCTACAGGCAGTGCACAAGAACAGAACACCTACTAGCACTGCCCCGCGGACTGGGAACCCAGTTAAACAACAGTCCTCTGTGCCCCTCTACTCTACCACCTCATCCCCTAGTCCTCCTCAAGCCACCACCACAAGTCCTCTCCCCACTGCTAGTACCACTCCTCCCCCTACCTCCACCACAACCTCTACTGCTGTTAGCAGTCATGTCCCTGTCCTCACTCTTTCTGCTACTGTATCAGGAACAGAACAAAACATTATTCAACTAAATAAGAAAAGGTGCACAATACTTTTGACGGCAGTTGCACACATTTTTCTGTGTTCATGTATATACAGTGATGTGTGTTCCAGCTCCCTGCCTCTCTCTGGGAGATGCAGCAAGCAGACTCTCAGGAAGTGGGTCACTGCCAAGAGAAGGGAAAAGTGTAGCATTTCCCCTCAACCACAGAGCAGCCATAAGACTACTGGCATGGTGGCTGCCTGCCCAACTCCGTTCTCCAATAACCAGATGGTCCGTCAGTCCATAGTTAAGCAAGATCTGGCAAGGTAAATTATCAGCACTGAGTATACTGAGTGCTGATATTATTATTTTTCATTATGTTTGTGCCAGGACTCAGTCTCGGGAGCATAAGAACAGAAGAATCGATGATGCCCTCACTCTAATGGAAGACATTCTCTCAGCAGAGCCACCTTCTCCCTCCCTCCACCCCACCACAGACCACCGCAGAACCACCTCCAAACTCTCGTCCAGTAAAAAAGGCTATAGTGATGGTGGACCTGTCATGAGACGGACCATTGCAGGCACTCCTACTAACCATACTCCCAAGCCCATGGGTGCGTATATAGCTAGCTACCTGCCAGTTCATAATTGGTTGCAAAATCATCAGCGAGGCAGTTGGGGACAAGGAACTGGTCCAGTATGGAAAGTCTGACTCCACAGGAACAGCTCAAGATGGCAGATATCATGGTCAGCTCATGGAACTGTATGCACCATGGTGGCTACACACTTACTTACACAATTTTGCTGTGGGTTTGGACTCGCTTTTGCTCTATGAATTGGTACACCATAATTTATACTCCTCTTTTTTTTAGTATGTCTGGAATCTTTTTAAAAATTCACTGTGTCGCTTTCCCCTAGGCATCGACTGAGCTATCCAGTGTATCTTCTGGCAGTGTTGCCTCCAGAATTGACTGGGAACTGGTGGACCAACTCATTGACAACTGAATACCACAACAAAACTGTATACTAGCTCTTTTATTGTATGCTACTCCCCAACACTGTGTAGCCGAAAATAAGGCAACATTCAAACAGTACGTATAGTTATAATGCAAAGACAGAGGGATTGGGGTGGGTCATCTTCCTTGGCTAGTGCGCCATACGCATGACATTGCTATTTTCATATATGCCAGATTAATTGCTTTTCATTAATACAGTGTTGTTTGTCTTGGATGCATTTATTAATTTGATGTGCACTGCCCTGTGTTGACACCCTTGTTTGACATCCCAGATACCTGAACTTATCACCAAAATTGTTATACAGTTTGTATTAAGAGTTTTGCTTTCACAACTAACTTTGCATTAAGTAATTGCTGTATAATTTATAGGTCCTATGTGAAGTAGCAAACTCATATCCAGTTGTCAAACATTCTTTTGCAAGGTTAGGTTGTATATGCTGCAAATACGTTAGAGGGTAAGGAAAGTGCAGGACACAAAGGCTCAAGGGCAGTGAGAGATGCCTAAATCATAATTATGTAGGTTACAATGGTTATGAATGGTGAGTGTCACAATGGCAAAGGACTTCATTGTATGTATTCAGTCCCTAGAGTCTTTCAACCATTGTAACCTGCATCTGCTTTTAGACAACATTTACATAATGCTTCAAGTACATATAATGCTTTAAGCCTTGCCTGGCCCTGGAACTTTAACTATGAATGGCCACAGATACTTACGTACATAGTGTGGTTTCACCAAGGAAATAAGGGCAGCGAGAGATGCCTGGGCATTAGTTAATGAATGTTAACACAGACTCGGTTACTGACTCCATGTGAGTCAGTTATACATAGGTGCTATACCATATATACAGGTAAAAATCAATTCTGCTTGAATATTATATACCATGCCCAAATTTTTCCCTTCTTTATACTCTGTATTATATGGGTGATAGGCATTTTACTATGGCTGCAATCTATTAATCTTGTTTGTTTCACTCGCATTAGCTTTGGCTCCTATAGTCTATCCTGCTAAGTTGGGCACTACACTCACTTTAATAACTTCTGCATACTATGTGCTATGTATGATTCAACCATTCGTCTCGCGGTTATGAGTCCAACAGTATAGAGTATGTGCACGTATCGTTGAACGGTCAAACGACTTTCTCCATGGACGTACCACCTAAATATGCACATTATCTTGGATGGGCATGGTACCTAGCATTATGGGGCTATGATATACAATTATGGACATTCTAATGTGTGCCAACATGTGCTTGTAAACAGTGAAATCCTCAATGTGAATGGACTATAGTTTAATTCGCAATCATTTGTAGCTGGTTTGAGGGAACTTTGTCCTAACTAGTTAGGTTTTAGGTAATCCTGATGCTCAGTAAATGTGTGGTGAAACACACATAACTTCATTTCAGACTACGATTACTCTCAGTCCATGTTTACTGAGTGTACACTAGCTGTGCATGCACAATTGCCAGTATGATGTAAAATTATGCATAGTGGAGGCACGCTAAACAAAACAGTCTACGTTAGTGTCTTTCTCCCCTTGAGTATATAAGAGTCTGGCTAACCGCCTACCACATCAAAACTCAATGCATGTGCAATGGCCTATATATGTGCGGTGGGACTTGCTTTCCTCACCTAATTAACCCTCGGCGCGCATGCGCAGCGAGGGTTACTGTACTTGGTCTGTTAGTGTGTCTGTCTGTCTTGTTACCACGTTTTCTGCCACTGCGCGCAACGAGACAACAAAAGAGCGATACCAATAGGTTTAGCCATACATAATATAGCGGAACGGTTCCGCTATATGGTTTAGCACTACACTGGCTGGTTTTAAAAATTTGGGGCGATTTTCGTAAAAGTACTGCGTTCGAGAGTTATGGCATGAAAAGTGAACAAGCCAATTGCAAATTAGCATAGGCTTACCTCGACCGGGTCCGCTTGCTCTGTGTATCTTAGAACAGGAGTGCTTGTGGCAATGTGGGTGAGAAAGATAGGGTTGTTGCGGGGGGAGGTGGACAATGGGTTGATGGTGTTGGTATCCAGGAAAGGTGTCATGGTCAAAATTCAACTAGAAAATTCAAGGAAGATATGGGGCACTCTGCGCTCTACAACCTCGGCTGCCATCTTGAATGTTGTCAAGAGAACTACAACTGAGTCGCTTGCTGATCGTCTCTCAGTCAAAAGAAAGTACAAAATGAATGCAAAGATTCGGTGGGAAGGTGGTGGTTTATTGTGAGGAGTGACAAGAGTGATATTGATGCCCTGGTGGAGGCTTGGGACAGGATCTCTTTCCACACTGCCTGGAGATTGGAAGGCATGTTTAGCTATGTGGATGATGATCTTTCCCCTATTTCCCCAGGCATCTCCACAAGTACAGCCTCTGTTTTGGTTCCTCATCTACAATCACCTCAACAATTGCAGCAGCTGTGTCTGACAAGGTGTCCAGTATCTCTGGCACTGTCACATTATCAGATGAAACAGTTACCTATTGTGCGATAGTTCCAGCAATGGCAGCATTGCTTCAGTTTTTTTACTACCAGAGCAATTTGAAACTCCAGTTCATACGGGAGCCCTGCTGGCTCTTCAAATGACTGACTACATCAGGACATTCAGAAGGAGCCCAAGGCACAACAGAATATAAATAAAAGTCGTCCGAAGGATGTGTGAAGAGTACAATGCCCGGAGTCTCCTTCCAAAATTTTATGAGTTACTTTTGTCTGTCAATCTGCACGCACCAGATATTATATGTACAAAAGGCAACTGCCCTCAACTTTATTTGTCATGTTTCAACCTCAGTTACTCTCCTCTTAACCCCTCCACTCCGCAACAAATAAATTCCAACTTTTGAGTAATTTTACTGTACCACTGATGAAGTGGAGCATTATACTCAGACTGTGCCAAGGCCTGTGGTCCTGACAAGATATCTGCGCGGATGCTAAAGTCGATAGCCTCGAACATTGCGCCAAGTGTGCTTTTTAATTGCTGTATTCATTGTGGCAAACTTCCTGACCAGTGCAAACTTTCAATGGTTGTTCCCATTCCAAAATATTCCAAAATATACCAACATGTCTGAACCATGTAATTACTGGCCTATATCACTGCTATGCATACTTGGAAAAGTTTTGGTATAACGTGATTCTAGAGCACCTTGTCGATTAAACTTCGAATTATCTACCAGGCAGTGGGGTTTTCGTTCCAACCGTTCAACCGTCTCTGCCTTGTTATCAGTGCCCATGATTGGCATGCTACTCTTCAAAGAGGTCAGGAAGTATGTGCTATTTTCTTTGACTATCAGAAAGTGTTTGACAGTGTTCCCCATCGACCTCTTCTCTCAAAATTAGAATATCTACAGTTGAACAGTGTTATCCTGAGATGGCTTACTGACTACCTGACTGAAAGGCGTCAGTTTGTGGTTGTAAATGGGGCTAAGTCACAACGCTATCGCCAGTTCTTTCTGGTGTGCCTCAGAGATCAATTCTGGGACCCCTGCTTTTCCTGATGACCTGTCACGTATTACATTTTCTGGATCTCCAAGACTGCACATGTTTGCAGATGATGTGTTACTTTACCAAGTCATTGAGGACTTTGTATCAGTGCAAGAGATTATCAACATGTGTTTATAATTGGTCAAGGCAAAATGCCTTTACACTGAATGGCAATAAATGTAAATTTATGATGATCGATATCAAGGAAAAGGTTTCTTTCAAACCCTCATCTCCTCTACATCTGGGAGGTCAATTACTGGAGTGTGTTAGCTCCTACAAGTACCTTGGAGTGCACGTATCCTCTGACTTATCGTGGAGTCAGCACACTCAGTATGTCTGTATGAAGGCTAAGAAGATGATTGGCCCATCTTTATCGGAACTATTACCAACATCTTCCAGGCACAATGCTCTTGCAGCTTTACAAGTCACTGGTTCGACCTCACCTAGAATATGCTGCTGCATTTTGTCTCCTTCTTCACAGAGTGATAAATTACTTTTAGAGAAGGTCCAAAATTTGCTCGGTGAATGGTTACAAAGTGTTAGGATCTCAGTCACATTGATCTGTTGCTGGTGTTCTGTCTCTTGAGAAACGTGTTTTTTTACCTTGACGTTTTTTCTTATTGTACCTCTTGTTCCTATATATCATTCTCATCCTTTTTCTCTACACGATCCTTTCTCCTGTACTACAACTCCATTTACCACTCCTTTGTTCCTGCAACTATTGGTACAGTCTTGATAGTATTCTATGTTCTGAGCCCTCTTTTTCTCTGTTCAAAATTCTTATTCATTTTTATTCTCATGTGAATCATGTCTCGCATTAGCAATTGGGTGCTACTTACATGTATTCCTTGCTTCTGTGCTAAACTGTTTATAAAATATTATATATATATATATATATATTAAAAAACATGCAAATTAGCACAGACTTACTTCGACCGGGTCCGCTTGCTCTGTGTATATACCATCAGTGCTTTTCATTAACCCTCGGCGCGCATGCGCAGCGAGGGTTTACTGTAGTTGGGTTTGTCTGTGTGTGTGTCTGTTACTCTACATCTCACCTCTCGAATGTCTGTTCGTCCCAGGAACGATACCATCTACCCAACGGGCGACGAAGGTCAGAACATATGTAGGGTTTTCTCTGAAAATGCTCCGTTGCAGAGCTAGAGCGCTTCCAGCATTGTATGGCTAATGCCATTCCCATTTTATCGCTGACGGATAATGCGCATGCGCTTATATTTAGCACAGGGTCCGCTTGTCTTGAAGGCACAAGAAGTCATAACGAATGGCGTGTATCGACTCTCGCGTGCTATCTACTACTCTAGCTATGACAGTAGCTGTAAGGGTATGCCAAAAGATGTTTTAGCAGATGAATGGTGTTAGCTATGTCATCGCAGGTTTTGCAGTGCCAGAAGCCTTCTTGGTGCAGGATATTTGGCCCTAGCAACTATATATGACACCCCTGATTGTGTCCTGTTCTTTTGCAGGTCTCCGTCTATAAAACCAGAGTAAAACTGCTGGCAGATCACTTTGTCTCTGGTGGCTTTCGAATTGACTGAAATAATATTATTATAAGCATGTTTTTGCCTGGCCGTGTTGCCATCTTTATCTTCTTTGCTTTGTCGGAGGTGCTTGCTTTTCGTTATAAGATTGCAATCCCTAGGGATGAAGCGGAGGAATTTTACCATCGCTTGACAAAACGAGAAGATCCGTGTAAAGTAGAACTTGTTCAGAACCCGGATGCTACTAAACTTCCCGATATTATTGATGATGGTGATCGGCCTTGGGTGAAAAATAAAAACACCAAAATTTCGACTTCAGTGGAGGTGACCAATGGGATTAAGAAACTCTACGGCTTCAAAGTTCCTGGATTGGATGGCGCAAAGATTTCTGAGGTTGTTGAATATTTTGCTAGCAAGGGCTGTTTGTCTTTCCCCTATGGTGGCTGTGTTCGCGATCAATTTCTTGGAAAAATACCAGCAGACTTAGACATGGAATCAAATTGTGATGCTGACAAATTAGAAGCAGCATGTAAAGGGAAGTGGAAAGCTGAGCAGTGTCCTCGATATCCTAACAGTCCAATTATGCATGTTGGAGTTGATGGAGCTGATGACGGAGAAACTGATATAATTGATGCCAGCGTATGGGATGAAACTTTCTTTGGTGATGGAACCAAACTTGAATACACAACTAATTCTGTTTCTTTTTTTGCTGGTAATCTCAATATCATAATTGACATAACGGGAAATGGAGTAGATGATACCTGCAACAAGAAAATTCAGATACCAGTGAGCCTACAGAATAGAGACAAATGGATGAGTTATACAAAAGTATTCCGCTATTGGAAGCTTCGTGTTAAGGAGTACACCGAGAAAGACAAAAGCACTGGAGATTACATAAAAGGTAAAGCTAAAACCATGTTGATGAATAAACCCGAGCTTTTTAAAAAGTTATACTGCCACTATGCTCTTGGTGGTAAATGGGGAGGTAATCAGGTCAAGAAATGCACCATTAAAGATTGCCCAGGAATGAATAAAACAGATTTTGATAAAGTTTTCTCGGCTGATCTGGCGAAGGATAATGTGTGGACCGAAAAAGGATTGCCAGTGATCAACAAGCTGGAGTGTGACTCGTGCCCCAATGCTGAAACCTGTAAAAAAAACAGTTATGTAGTTGCCTCCGCAACATCTAAGGCTGCAGTAGTTAGCAGAACTCATAACTAGATGGAGGTTTTAGTGCATACTACAAGTCCAATGATTTTTAGCCTAGAACGTACAACTCAAATGTACTGTTATGTCAATACACAGTCAGCAGTGTGGATGATGCGTGTCCGATCCTCAGTGTGTCGTTCCCACGCCTATATTATAGGAATAAGTTCCAAGACTGTATAAGTGGATAAATTATTACTCTCAAAATGAAGGGGATATAACCAGACGATGGTCATAGTCCTAATAAAATCCTAAGAATTTTGCTGGTATAGTAAATGTAGTTATGGTTCATACAAAGTAGCTAACATCTCGAATCTCTAGAGAAATGTAGGGATGGTGTTAGAATGACCTTCAATCTTAGTGTAGACATCTTCTTATTCCTCTTCTTTTTCGTGACATCCCTACATCCTCCTTCACTTGATAATTCCCTTGAAATATTATACCTATAGTACACGTGGACTGCATGATGGGTATCAAAGTCACTCTTTCTTCCATATGACAGAAGAATTGGAAATGGTGACTATAGGGATGATCTACAAAACAAGAAGAGAAGACAGAAGACAGGGATGACCTAGTGCAGTAGCTAATGCAGTAATGGTTGCTACATATAATATACACTTCAAATTGACACTGCTTGCTCAGTGTAGTCTTGGAGACCATGGCCATGGTAGTGGAGAGAAATAATTATGATTAGCCAGTGATTCTGGGGCTGACAGTGTCGCTGTTAGGAGGGCCAGGCCAGCCTCAACTGATGGTTCATGCTGGGATGATGCACACTGTAAGAGGGAACATTATAGCTGCGCGCGCAGAGGTATTAGCCCCGCCCTCATTTTGCAACATAAAAGCAACGAGCTCTGGCGGAGCGCGAAACGTACTGCTCCCAGCTCAAAACAGGGAATTACTGCCGCGATGAGGCCGTGGCACGGAAGATTATTCTTTGCAACCGCCGTATTAGTACAGCTGCAGATCCCCCCGTCGCGTTCTAACGTCTGCTGTGGACCTGGTCCTGATCCACGTACGTTTCGGTTGTAGCTCCTACCAGTGTTAGGAGAACAAGGCTGATTAGCTCTATAGCTACACTTAGTTTCCCAGGCGAGACTTGCCGGCCTTACGAAAATTGTTGCCGTCACACAGCCAGGTATACAGTGCAGTGGCTACCTAAAGTATTTTTTTGACATTCAGGTGACTGCAGATGTCAAGTGCTGCATGATACAGATGAAATTGCTTGCTACTATTCAGAGCTCAATGGGTCCGAACCCAAAGCCAAAACACCGCAGTTAACTGGCTTCTCACAAGGTGGAACCTTTCCTAGCGGAGTTGGTGTTACTCTCTTCTGTAATGTCAGCTACGTCTCGTCCCCAACCAAATGCCCACTCAAAGTGGTATGGGAGCACAACGGAACTGCTGTGGATCCTAGCCTGGTCCATGTCAACAATACGTTCAAAAACAACGTATACAAGAGTACGCTCAGTATACCCCACTTCTCAGCCTCTGCTCAGGGAGACTATGTGTGTAGAGTGGAGCATAAGACCGACTCTAGCTCTACAGCAAGTCCTTCTGCTATACTACAGCTCCCAAGTAAGTTTGGGTGCATGCAGACACATAAGTCCAGCTGCCTGGCTACTGATAGGGACTGGTCCAATACTCCACTTCTCTTCCATAGTGAAACCACAGTTATTATAGGCATCCCTATCCTATCTGGGGAGTATAATACAGCCTGCGGAATTCTCTGAATGTGCACTCTACCAGCTCCCAGTAACAAACACTTCGTCATTATCTTTCTTCATTCTGCAGAGTTCCTGGGATGGATTGACAGGGGCTACCCTCCTCCCACTGATGCCAACACTGTGACTCTGATTGTGCAGAAAGGAGGTTCAGTCATTCTGGAGTGTTCTCCCAATACCACTGAGTCACTAAAGGGGCGGATTCCTCAGCTGGAGGCCAAGATAGCCACCCTCCCTCTCCCAAGTGGCAATGTCCTGGTGCCTGATGTACAGGAAGATGTAAGCATCTCCTGTGTCTGGCCACTCCAAGAGGCACACACAAGGCACTTCCACATATCAGTCTCTCCTGGTGAGTGGCTTTATTGTGGTCCTCTACCAATTATACACCCAGGAGCATTTCCAATGTATAGAGGCCACCCATTTTTGTCACCTACTACCAAAGTTTACTCTCACTTTTTGGGCTTTAGATAGCAATTCTAAGGTGTGTTTCTGAAGAAAGGCTATTCCAGATTCATACTTCCGGTGCTTTCCAGTACAAGCTGCAGTTCACTATGAATAATGCTAGAAGTGGGGTCTTCCCAACAACCATGAATTTTCCTAATACTTTGGTTGGCAGCAGACATGTATATATGACTCAGTGCATTCTCTGCTGAGTCTATGCTTGGGTGAAGTCACAAACTCATTGGTGCAATCGCAGTAGCTAAACAGGAGTGTTTTTATGACCTTTTATCGGTTAAACAGCTGATGATGTGGTCAGACACATTATAATGACTTAGTGTTTGCTTCATACCTTAAGGTTTGTACGATACCTATGTGTGACCACCCTGGAGCCCTCACAGAGCCAGCCCTAGCCCTCCAGAGGGAACCCTAGCCCCTCAGAGAGTGGAATGAGGTCAGGTGCCTACCCTTGTTTAGCCACACAATAGCAACATTTCTGGAGTAGCTACTCTACTGTTTGTAGACTGTCACAACTTTTACAGTGTAGCTCCACCTTAGAGAAATTCCCATCTTGAAACCTTAGACCATGTGTGTACACACACTACAACACACACAGACAGTTCAAGTAAAGTATGTACTTACCATAAAGAGCTGACATACTGGCTGCTATAATTTCCTCAGATCCCCCTCCTGAAGATCTGACGCTGGTGGTGAGGCCTACGGACAGTGTGGTAGCTGCTGGCTTTAGCCTGGAGCTGTACTGCATAGCTGAGGGACCTAGGGCAGCCTCTATCACCTGGTATAAGGATGATGTGCCTGTGGACGGGCAGATGGGGAAAGGGGAAGTTCTTGAGGTGAATGAACCCACTTCCAACGATGGAGGAACTTACACATGTTCAGTGTCGGATGGATCTCTAACTTTGAATGCCTCTGCTGTTGTGACTGTAGTTGGTAAGTAACTTACGGTTTATAACATGTGCATGTGTTTTGCGGCTGTGTACTGTATGTGGGTGTGTGTATATAGTTATGACACTTACTTCTGGGCTAAGTTCTTTTTATCTGCGTGTCCAGATCCTCCCGGGCCAGTATCTCTCTCAGTGGATGGTGACACCAGTGCTCTCAACATCGACCTCCAGACTGGAATAGTTACAGTGTCTCAGTCTGCAGACTTCTCCCTCAGGCTGTCCTGCCACGGGAACACCACCACAGGTCTCCACTACCAGTGGTTTCACGGAGGAGTGCTCACGGCCGAGGGGGAGGGAGTGGAGTCTCTGGTCCTGGCGACCTCTGACCTGCATAATCTGACCGGATCCTATCAGTGTATTGTCTCCAATATTGCAGGGAGACAATTGTCGCAGGCTCTGTGGATCACAATAGGTAATTGTCATGAACATCGATAGTAGTGACTGTTAGAGTGAGAAGCTAATGTGAAGTCTGTGCAGGGCTTTGTAAAGCCTATTTCAGCTATACTGTGCCTAAGGTTGCTCTTTCACCAAAGTGATGACATGGACCCAGTATATCGTAGCATAATATGCACTCCATATTGACGGACACATCATTGTCATACCACAAGAAAAATATGGTTAGCAGAGTATAGTTTCGAAACGGCTAAGTGGTTGGATAATTATAAAGAGGTATTTTAACCAGATGTATTGATGCATGACAAGTAGAAACATCATTTTAAGGGAGATGTAGCGATGTCACCTCATGAAAACGAAGGGGAAAAAGATGCCTACACTACGACAGTCATTCATAAACCCAACTCTAAATCTTCTGTTCAGTTATCTTGTTCGTTAATACTGGAATCTCTACGGTGTTGGGTAATAAATCTCTGATAATTTGACTCTCTAAACAAAGATGTAGGGATTGGGTTATGAATGACTCTCTGTCTCGGTGTAGGCATCTTCTTGTCCCCTTCTTTATACGAGGTGATATACCTACATCCCTTTCATTCCAGAGAAATGATTGTTCCACTTTTTGACTCATTGTTCTGTTGGTGAATAGATGCACACTAATAGCCATGGATATATTTCACTAGACAGTTGGTCTTCCCATGGAAAGTTTGTTGAAGCTGGTTTTGCCAAGAACATACAATAGTCCTCTTTCGCTCTATAGGTATTTTATATAGCCAACTAACATATCTTTGTTACACCCACCATACCACATATTCTGCAGATGAGTCCAAACCTCACCCACCAGTTGATGTTAGAATTAAAAAGAACACAGGGCCAGGGGTCTACTTTGAGTACGACATTTTGTGGGAGAGACCAGAGGAGGGTTCTGTCACAAACTACACGGTTGAGACTCTATCCCTGAGCGACGGACGGGCAGCTAACTACTGCTCCTGCATTGGTCATCATTCTGACATGACAAACACGTTTTTTGCATTCTGGGCCGGCTGTTTTCCTGACGTTACCCGTGACTACTCCCTCTACTACAGAGTAGCAGCCAACACAAAAGACTCGCAGAGTGACTTTATCGCCGGACCATCTACAACAGTCACCCTAGGTATCATACTCTAGCAGTTACAACCTTGCACTGGGGAATTGTTTTTCTGATTAGAACGTTTTGGGTTAGAAAAGCAAACTTTGGTTCACTACCCATACCATGTTTTGTTTGTGGATCTATAGATGCTCCACCGAAGACAAAGAGCCTGTCAGTGGAGACTGTGGCGGCTACTGACAAGTGGGACCTGAGGCTCAGCTGGGAGTATCAAGACACTGACAACTACTACCCAGTCTGCTATCACACTACAGTGACTCCACCTTGTGGCACTGCCAGTACTAGAATTGTACGTTGTGTAAAGTTGCACGCACTGCTATATGGATACATATATAATGTTGTATCAAACGTTGCTGCCCTTACTGTAATGTCCTACGTGATTCTACACATGCATTTTTACCTCCAAATAAGGAACACTCTTGATGTCCCAAAGGTGTTCCATCTTCAGAACTCTTACTGTATAAATTATTTGACTCCAGAGTTCTTCGCCAGTACAAGCTTCCATGAATTGCTGTACAACATGTGAATGGAGTGTCACCAACATTAATCGCGCCTACCCTACGAGAAGCAGTGTCAATAGGTCAAACTACTCAACCCCTCCCTTGAGTAAGTAACATTAAAGCAAGTGAGAATGTATTGCCATATAAAATATTTTTCGATGGACAGTATCTTAAAGGGAATGTGGCAGTATTAAGGGCTATATTTAGAACGAACACGGTGAAAGAATGCAATTGTGTTCCGGTTTTAGTAACATCTAAATTTAAGCATTATGCTGCCACATTCCTTTAACCACCAAGTATATAGCCTCCAAGCAATGAAGTTAGCTATCATACATTTGTGGAAAAATCCTAGCCAGCCTTAAAATTAGTTTCTAGAGTCAACCTAAGGTTTGCTAGACAAGTCTATTACCATCCCTAGAACCATGGGCACCACCTCAGCTACTCTCAGTGGAACGTCTTGAAACAAGTGGAACCTCTTTCTCGGTATCGTTTGAGGTATGGCAACATTGTGTTGTATGGTCACCTTAAAGACTCCTCCCTCCCTTCTCTCCACAGCTCCCCGATCCCTCAAAATCCTGTATGTGTGAGGTTGGAGAGAGTTTTCAGGTCACAGTTAGAACCAACGACACCACGATCACCCCAGTCACCACTACCGTCTTACTTACTGACTCTGCCTTCAATGTTGACGTACCAGAAGCTGATTGTTCTGCTGCCTATGACATCAGTCTAGCCTTCCACAACTCACTGGGAATGAGTCCATATAGCATTCCCTTCACTGTTGGTCTGCCTACTGGAAGTGAGTTTCTGGTTTCAGCTCAACTTCACTGGTAGAGTGTTTGAGCTGAGTATAGTAGCTTAATCACGTGACTTACTAAAATCAGATATCCAGTGGCGGATCCAGGGGGTTCCAACCCCCCTTTTTGTTGTTTTGCGTGCATTCACTGTCAGCCTCGTGCGCGCGCCCCCCTTTCAAAATCCTAGATCCACCACTGATATCTTATGACTGCATTGAAGCGAGCGGTTGGGAGTTTACTCCTGTTGCTGTGTATGGGCTATAATTATTAGTGGGCAAAATATAAACTCTGAAAAATGAGTTGTTTATTGGCCAAAGTGTGTCATTGATTTTGGTCAGTGTTAACGCCTAACAAAGGCCATAGGTAATGCGTAAAATCAAGAGCTAGGTTAGCCCAGTAAATGGGAGGACTAGAGGATGTTTGGGGATTTTTCTGCTGAAGGATTTGGCATGTATAGATTCATGAATTGGAACATTGATTTTCAGATAATATTCCAAGATTCTCCAAGGCTCTTCAGTACGACAACACCAGTGAGTCAGAGGTGACAGTGAGCTACCAGCTGGAGCCAGGTGCAGGATGTCTACTGGGTGACGGTCTCCTCCATTCCGACATCTGCTGTGCTGCAACCCAGTCATCAGACACATGTTCTCCTGACCTGTTTAACACACTGGACCATGTTAACTGTACTAGCATTAGTAGTGGGAGTGGGAACCTCAGCCTCCCGCGGTACCAAACCTTCTGTGTGGTGGCCAAAGTCTGGTCTGACCTGCTGGACATGAATGTCTCCACCAAAACCCTCACAGTTCCTGCCAATGAAGGCATCCCTTCCGAAAAACCAAAGAATCTGTCAGTATCACCAGTGAACACGACTCTTAACATCAGCTGGAGTGCTCCACTCAAGGAGTCTTGGCACGGAATACCGTACGGTTACAGTCTGAACATCTCTACAGCTGGCGGGGAACTGAATAGAGAGCGAGTGTGGTCAAACTCTCTAATATACAAGAACTACAACAGTTCACTTACGTACAGCGTCACCATATCAGCTTGCACAAGAGTTGGGTGTGGACCAATAACCAGCACTACTATTTCCCGTAAGAAGCTTTCTCAAGTGTTTCGGCATGTGATAAAACTTCCTCCTTTATAGATGATGATCAAGTGACAACTGATCAACCATCTAATGGCAGTGATCAAGTGACAACTGATCAACCATCTGATGGCAGTGGTACGTGTATTATAAGCTAACAATTTAGTTTGCTCAAGATGTCTTTGTTGATCTGCTTGTCTGTTACATACGAGTAACCTATTAGCCCATCAAGTGGTACTCGTGCAGGATGTTACTTATACAATAGAGACGCACTGTGAGCTATAAGTTGATTCTTATACATAGAGACGTACTGTTACGATAATTATCTAGACATAGCAAAACCAGAAGCAAAGTCTAGGGAAATCTCAAGGAACCTGTAGTATCTTCGAAACTTACAGTGCCTTTGTTTTTGCAGACAATATTCAGCCAGTAACTGATCACTCATCAAATGACAGAGGTATGCAGAACAAATGAGTGCGTATTATGAAACACTTAAATTTTGTGAATTGTGGTTTGTTATAGGTTCTGTTACACTTGCTGTGATTGTGACATCTTCAACTCTGTCTGTGCTGGTTATATCAGCCCTAATAATGATCATCATCATCTCCTGCACTTGCTACCACAGGTATATGTGCCTATGAAGGGAATTGATGTCACGGCTTACTGTTGCAATACTTTCTTTACAGAAGACGCAAGAAATATGCTAGGCTGAGAAATGAGAGTATACCTGATTTTAGAACTGCAGTAAGTTTAAATTCACAGTGCATACATCTTATTTAAGTGGAGTATAGATAGCTTCATAACCTCAGATTCAGTTACCATGTAATACGGGAAAGATGCACATTCCGAAAACAGGTGGACACCACTGTATAAAAGGGGTGGCACAGTCACAGGCGAAACAAAACAAATACGCTGACCATCCACAGCACGGCTCCCCACAAGCTACTCCCCATAGAACAAGACCCCTTCCATGACTACGCAAACAAAAGACGAAGAAGAAACTCAGCAGCACAAGCAGCGCAACTTGTGTGCAGGAGCGTGTTTTAAAGGGTTGGTTGCAGCGTGTGGAAGCTGCACAGGAAGTAGGTCTTCAAGCAGGTCTGTGCGGCTTGTTCACATAGAGCCGCTCCAACTCAGTGGATAAGTGTAGCCGCAGCATTATTAACCGGAAAACCTCATTAACCGCATCTTTTTCCTTATTACACCAGGCATGCTTGTTTAAGTCACAATGAATTGAAGCGTTCAGCATTGTAATGCTGTATCCTGTCCTCTCCCACCAGCAGCTGTTTGAGGATAATGAGTCACTGGTTGCCAGTCGTGGACCTCCCACTGGAGCCCCTGCCCGCTCTGAGTACACTGACTTTGAGTCTCTGTGCAGTGGGGACTCTAGAGTCGGGGAGTGGGTCAAACAGACTGCCAGCCAGCACATAGACGGCTATGTCAGGGATGCAGACGAGGAGCTTGCTCTCCTGCAGGAAAAAGACACCAAACAACCCAGCGGCCCTTCTCTTGTTCCACCCCCAGAGACCCAGTCTAGCAATGGCTACTGCTCAGGGTCTGGACGATCACTCCAGGTAGCCAAGAATAATGAGTGCAGTGCTACAACTGCCACTACACCACTTTCTTCCGGCTATAGCACAGAACACCACACTGCACCTGTAGTTGGTGCTTCGATATCTGAACAACGCTGCAGTGGACAGTTGCAACTTGCATACACTGGCATCCATAACCTGATAGCCCAACCACTACCTGCTCAATGTACTTTCACGAACAACTATCATCCAACTACAAGGAACTCACTTCACCAGACAACCTCAGACCTCATGGACAATGACTTTATATCAAGGCTGCTCTGTCAAGAAGACTTTGACCCTCCAAGTTCAAATCCTGCCATTGACCTGAACAATAAAAATGTCCTTCTAGGGCCTACTGAACCAGTAACTGATTCATACACTCCAAGTGATAACCTCTCCCCTATCATTCAGATGACCAATCCCAATAGTCATCCTGTCAAGTCAGAAGTGGAGGAGACTGACTCAGTCTTTGACACCTCCATGTCTCCAGTCCGACACTCGGCCACCCAAGGTCCCCCGGGCAGGACCAGAAGCAGCATGACCAGTGGCTTCCTCTCTCTCTCCGACACGTCCCTGGACTCCAGTGACAACATGGAGATGACTCCCATCCGCACCTGCCCCAACCCCCCTTCCTTGGCTAGCGGGCACAGTTCCACCTCCTGGGCCACCTGGACCCCTCCCTCCAAGCAGGCAGCCCCTGTCATCCCATCTCTCCTGTCCTCTGAGGTCAACAAAACCTCAGCCTCCCTCCTGCCCTCTCCTCCACTAGATCACATGCAGCTGTCCTGCTATGAGAATATTGACGGTGACCCTTTGGCACACGAAGCATTTCGCTTTGAACTATAAGCATTATTATGCTCACTGTAATCCTACAGGAGTTGTAAAAATGATGTTTCATATTTTTTTGGCTTACTTATATATTTTTTATATATGCAGTTAATGGTTGTCCAGTGAGTATTATATTTTGGTCAAAAGGACTTGATTGTGCAACTGGTGGCATGGCCATATGGGATATTCAGTCTTTGGAGAAAGTGGTGAGATTATTCCTCTTTTGACTTCAGGTGGACACTGAATGTAACATGATTATGTAATGCTCTATAATAGTGTTCAAGAATGGAAGGTGTTAGGTGGGGGTGGCTGGTTTATAGAACTGCAGTATGTCCTATGATGGGGATTGGGCATGGCACAGAGCATTTTTATAGCTGTGATAGGGAGCTCCAGTTTTGTTCACCATCTTCAGATTCGCAACACTCTGTTAGCTGGGGTATAGGGTTGTCAGAGATAAGCTAAGCTTGGTCTTGGTGACGTAGGTCAGGAAACGGTTTTAAGTCACAGGGATGTTGAGTAGGGAAACGCAGGGAGGAATTTGTATATAAGAGGAACAAAAAAGGGCAGGAGCTGTTGCACTGGATGACACTAAACATTGTAGTAGAGATCATAGCACTATGCATGTGCTCAGTGATGCTCAAGTTTAGATTTTGTTCCGCTTATCAGGGACCCATGATTCAGTCAAGTGCTGTAGGCATTCAGAAGGAACAAAGGAGGATGAAGGTGTTGTGTGGTGGTGTTTTGTGGGATTATCCAGTATGAACCAGCTGCTTGTTTGTTACAAGGTTGGGCAGATGAATTTGTGTTAATTATCTAACAAATTCCCTCAACCAGCAGCTATTTTATCCCTTGGAAAAAAGAGGTTTGCTGCTTTGTTTGCTTTGATATCGTTGACATGAAAATCACTGCAGCCTTCCCGGCTTGCCTGCTTCCACGGACACAATGTATCCATGGCATAGTGCAAAACCTAGCTAACAGTGACTTGTGGGAAGTTTTCAATGATACCAGTCTTCAACAGTCCAAGTCCCGGATAGTGTCTGTCGGTGGGAGTTGCTGGGTGGTATTGCTGAGCTGAGGTAAGACCAGTTACATAATGTAAGTGCTAGCCATGGTGCCACGGTCGCCCTGTGCTCTGTGTAAGTGTGCATTCAAAGAGGTGACTGTGGGAAAGTTACAGTGGACATTAATGTTGACTATTGCTAAAAGTTGCATGGCAGACTAAACTTTAAATGAAACGAGGAGGAAGATTGTGAAAACCACATGCGCCAATGGTCCATAGCAAGGAAGAAGCTGGCTATAATTATACCGCATGTTCTGTCACTATTACCACTATGATGTAATGCTGTCCACATGGGGTGTTATTGTAACATGCTACCCTCCGTCAAGCAAAAGCAATAAGATGTCCCTCACAACAAACATTGCTGAGTCAAAGAAAACATAACGCATAATAATACAAAAATCAATAGATTGATGCACTAAGTGAAAAAGGAAACAAAACCTGTGCCAACAACAACCACCACCAGCACACTGTACTAACAGACACACTCTCTCCAGCCAGAAAGAGTCAGACACATTATTTCATATCCAATATCATGGAGGCTGGGTTCTCCACATAGTTCTTCCAGCGGTTAGAGAAGCGAGCCACCTCAGCCCCATCAATGACCCTGTGGTCAGCCGCCCAGCTCACATGCATCACGTGGCCTCTCTCCAGGTCCCCCTCTGAGTCAAACCGAGGCACCACCTGCACCAACACATCACACATTGTTTCTTGATGTTACATACACTTGAGGCTACAGGACGAACATTCGATAGATTTATCGAAGTAATGTTCAACTTTGAACACTTGGAGTATAATGTAAAAATTGTGTGTATTTAGAAACTTCACAAACCACACAGAGCATGCAGAACACTATTGTGTATATACTGCTAATTACAAGTGGTGCATTACACATGTACGTAGCCATGTGCACGTGGAGCACTCAAGAAATTAGATGCTAAACTTTATGATTTACAGCCGATTTTTAATGAGCACATACTTATTTACTACCTTGACTCTTCCAAATGCTCCAATGGCGACAGAGGGAGGCAGTAACATGGGGTTGGCATAGGTTCCTCCGATGGCCCCAATGTTGGAGAGAGAGAAGGTTCCGTCTGCAGTGTCTACTGGAGGTAGCTGGCCAGCTGCTCCCAGGGACTGGAGTCTGTTGAGCTCCACCGCTATCTCATACACACTCTTCTCCTGCATACACACACAACACGTAGATCAAAATGCAGGAATGCAACACATTGTTGGCAAGCTAGCGCGAGCAGTTCTACATTTCACGCTTGGTTGCTGTCACTGATTTAGATATTACGGTATGTGTGGCATTCGGATAGAAAGAAATGGTAGACACGACTAGGTAGGCTCGCTTCACGCGCCAATAAGTGGTTAGCGTACATTGAAGCCTTGATCTGCAGCTTTATACCAATGAAGAGTTCATCATTTTACACAAGGGGATGAGTCTGTATTGAGATGGAGTAAAAAAAACTGATGTGTAATGCGTTACAGTAAGCAGGATTCTACGCACTTTGTGGCAAAACGTCCAAGTGTGTGCTCATTAACATGGATGTGTATGTCATGCTACAATGCAGATAAGGACACAAGGAATACCAGAGCACAGAGGGCAACAGTCATTACCTGGACTCTCTTGACATTGGGGACAATCAGTCCCAGTGGGGTGTCCATGGCCACACCCACATTATGGTCGGCCCTGTAGGTGATGGTGGTGCAGTCTGGGTCCACGGTGCTGTTGAGCACTGGATGGTGGACGAGGGCTAGAGAGACTGCCTTGATGAGGACTGGCATGTAGGAGAAGGCCACACCCCCCTCAGAGAGCCTGGTCTTGAGTAGAGATCTCAGCTCGACAAGTTTGTTCATGTCCACCTCGTCCTTGTAGCCAAACTGAGGAATGCGACCTGGGAGAATGAGGAGGGAGGGGGAGGAGGGGGAGGAGGAGGAGAAAGGTGGGAGTGAAGTGTGAAGACATGCAGATGATTAACAGTGAGTAACACGCAATACGGCCAAAGATAGAGAGACAAGAGTTTATTGCTTTGGATTGTCACGACTTACTTTTTGTCTAAATGTGTGTGTGATTATTGCAATGTCTCACCAGACTCAGTCATGGTACGAACCATGACTAACTTGAACCCAGTGATAGGCTCAACACGATCCTCAGCAGATGGAGGAGAGGGAGGGGATGGAGGGGGTGTGACAGGTCCACTCACAGTTGGACCTTATGGGTAAGAAATGATGTCACTCGACATACGAAAAGGTGGAGCATGATATTATTTACTTGATCTGAAGGTGCTTCACCTGTATTGGAGTTGATGTAGTTGAGAATGTCTTCCTTGACAACTCTGCCTCCTTTCCCAGTGGGAACCACGTCTGCCAGGTTGACTTCTTTCTCAGCTGCCAGGTGGCGCACGGCTGGGGTGGCCAACACCTGCACACACACATTATCCTCAATCTCACAATTCACACAGTGAGTGTGATTAAGGAAAAATAGCATAGGTGTGTGTCCTAGTAACTTAATGTGTATCTCTAAGTCAAAACATTACAGAGAGAATGAGCAGGGTTTTCTTTCCTGATGTCAAATACGGAATGACATGGACACATTAAAAATATTCCCCTTTCACCTCAAGAACTGCTCCATCATAAAAGTCTCTGCCACACCGGCAGTGTTACGTTGTACGTACAATAGACACGTATGTATACTCCAGATGAACACTGACCTTCCCACTAGAGACTGGCAGTTGGGTGGGGGGAGTGGTTTCAGCTGCTGCTGACTCAGCAGGTGGAGGGGGAGACTGTTTCAGTTCGTGTTCCTCAGCTGGAGATCATTGATGCATGAAGGCAAGGTTACCAGAAAAAATTTTAGCAAATATTCAAACATGTCATGAAATATCCAGCTTCTAGAGTTGCACATGGAACGTGCACTATACATGATAATGACAACATACAACTTGACAGCAGAAGCAAGCCCCGAAAGGTTGAACAGAAAGCCATGAATGAGGCAATGTCGATGCATGCTATCTTTGTGTATACGTCACAGTCCGACTTTGAAAAATCACAATAATTACCACGTGTGTACATATAGTATTTATGTAGTTGCTGTGCTGATGGTTTACACATGGTTAGACCAACATGGCAATAGCGTGAGTAGTGTTTGTGCAGAGGGACTGTGGCGTACCTCCAGTGGCCCCATCCTCCACCTCAAACACAACCAGAGGTTTCTCAAGGTGGGCAGTCTCTTCCTCCTCCACCACTAGCTCCTTCACCACCCCATCATAGGGAGAATACACCGTGGCTGCTGACTGGGAGGACAATAACATGAGAGTTATACAACACTACACATGGAACTCATATCATGTCCAAAGACAAGAGGCTAGAAGAAACGACCCCCATCCAGACACAAACAAAACATGAACCCACATGCACGGCGACACATGGCAACACATACATTAAACACGGCACTACTCGATAATTATGATAAATTGTATGTACAAAAGAGTTTCATACAACCTGGAATGGAGAGAAGTGTTACTGACACACACACTGTATGCACATAAGGAGATTTGGTAAACGAAGAGGTGAATTTGGAGATAATGTGAAAGCTACATACAGTGAGTAGCCGCCAACCTTGTCACTCTGAACTTCACAGAGAGCATCTCCCATACTCACTGTGTCTCCTTCCTTCACCAGCCTGCGTACAGATAACCAATACAACATCAATGACTGTTTGGTTTCCACAAGACATGTACATACACATACAAACACACTCAGTAAGAAAATGTGTGCTGTGCTTGTACCATTCAGTGATGACGACTGTGGCCATTCTCTCTCCAACATCGGGGAGGTTGAATGTGACCAGAGGACTTGCGATGGCTGTGGGTAGAATAATGTCCTTACTGACACAGGTTATGCTTGTTTACGATGACCTCTTTATGTGACAATCAGACATGCCTTTCGCCATAGATACAGTGTATGGTTTTGTTATGCCATGCGAGGATCTGACTTACCTGGACTAGTATGAACTCCTCTCCACCTTGAGACCACACTCCTCTGTACCTGTAGAAACAGCTCAAGCATGCTATACTATTTCTTTGCTTGGGGTGCACCATGACAGCATCATGGACTCACTTCTCTGGCTATAACACGATGATTCAGTCCTACAGAAGAAACTCTTCTTCCACTATGGAACCGACAAGCTGCTCTCACGCCTGATCTGACAGCAGAAAACATCTCGCGAGGTGAGATTTCCAATTGTAGCCCACGGTTAGTTCTAAATAAAGCCCAGTAACAAACAACGAAGATTATGTCGTACGTCAAGGGCGACCCCACTCACGTACAAGGTAAGATAGTATGTAACTTTCGTTGACGTTTTGACTAAAGGTAAACTTTTCAGGATTGCTGAATCGCCTCACGTATGTCAAGGAGCAGAGCAGAGGAGCATGCTCAAAGTGTGGCTACAGTGAGGTTTATGCACTTACTTTGGTTGTGAATACCTCACCTAGACTGCAGAGAGTCGTGGGTTCGAATCTCACCCAGGGCAATTCTTCTTTTTCCTTTGAAAAAAAGAGTTATCCTGGGTGTATAGTTGATTTGTTTGCCTTTGCCTTGCTTTGACCCCGTTGTTGACATGAATGACTGTTAGCTTTGGCATGACCAAACTAACACACTGTGGTTAGTCATTTGCAAATATCCTTGTTTTTATGGAGGTGGCCATCTCACATTTGAGTGTCGGAACTTCCTACGTCAGAACCCAAGTCAGGAGGTCCACCTGGACGTCAGTAGTACCAGCAGTGAGGAGGAGGAAGAGAAGGAGGAGATAGGGAGGGCCGCTGGAACCCCTCCACAGAAGAAAGGTTATACACACACCATTATACACTACATTTGTCCACTTAAACATTTCCAACAGCTGATTGTGCAACTTTGCTGATGTTATAGAGCAAAACTTGGTGACTTCACCCTAAGACATAGCACAATCTATGTGAACTATAAGCCTGGTGTATACATAACCTACTCGAAAAAAGTTTACATGTGTCTGTTAAAAGTTAGTGTATTGTATGACGTATGTGTACTGACTGTAGGCTTGAGAAGAGAGAGAAGGAGGTCCTCAGACAGTGACTCTCACTCAAGGTCCAGGAACCGGGATAGAGGCAGGAGAGATAGAGAAGACAGCAGGAGAGATAGAGAAGACAGCAGGAGAGATAAAGAAGACAGCAGGAGAGGTTCCCGGAGAAAAGCTGGTATAATAAAAAAAGCGCTGAAGTGCAAACCCTCGGCGAACTGCGCATGCGTGCACGCACAATGTACAGAAACCTATGGTCCAACCGTTAGCAAAGTGACGCTGCTTCAAGACATAACACTTGATTAGGCTTATGACACTTTTTTGCCATGTTTATTAAGAGCAATGCCTACTTCGGGCTTTTGCTACAGACACACTCTTGTTAGTACTTCAGTGCACTAGGTGTATGTATGTTCTTATTATCATCATTGATATCGTTTGTTCTGTGTGTGTGTGTCCACAGAGAGAGGTAGGAGGTCAGACAGCAGTAGTGGAGAGAGGTCTAGATCCAGGTCCACAGAGAAGAAGAGAAGGCACAAGAAACACAAAAGAGATCATGGCCACAGTCAGTGTAGTCTTTGTGGTGGTGCAAATCGTGTCTTGAGTTCACTAAGTATTTTGGATGTCTTCATCTTACTAGCAGGTGACAGCAGCAAGGATGAGTTGAGAACGAAACACAAGAGGTATGTACATTGATGACACCTATATATATATATAGACACTCACAGGATGTGGAGATATTTGGTGGGGTGTATTTGTGCCAGTCACTTAATTGCTATATTTTCAGGTGTTTGTACCACCCTAACATGGGGACTAGCCCCCATTGCTATCAAGAATGAGAAACCCAGACTCTCCCCTGGCATGTAAAATTATGAGATAGCTAGTGCCTATACATTGTAGAAGTATATACATATGAGAGATATCTGGCTGGTGACAAGATAAGAGTTACTTCAATTACAATGATTTTCTTTTACACAGGAAGAAGGTCAAGTCACACAAACAACACAAACACAAATCTCGTAGGAGGTCCTAGTTATTTGGTTATTTTGTCTCTCTCTATGGCACTTACATGTTATCAAAATGCGAACCCCTCGGCGCGCATGCGCAGCGACGGGGTGCTGTTACGCCGCTTAGGATGTATAATTATAACCGGTGTTTGCCGTTGGTCAAAGAGATGATGATTATCCATGAATTGCTCGTAAAAAAATACGGTTTGAAGCGGAAGCTGACTGCAGTAAATCCAGTCGTCAGCCCAAGCTCCTCGCGTAGTCCCGCGACCACGCCCCTTTCACTCCGGTAGATTTTATCCCCTGTATATTTTATCCGGTGGATAGTATATTCTATCCGTGAGGATAGTATATTAGTGTGGGATATCCAGGGTCCGGATATTTTATCCCTCCAATAAGAAAGTTTCTGCGCACGATAAAACGCTGCTCGCTGTTTCTGCACGGTTATCTCGTATATATACCGAGTTGAGTCTGCGCGACTGCACTCCTTCTCGTCGAGACACTCAGCGGTTGCGCGGATCGCGGCCGCGTCCAGCCCTTCAACGAACCGTCTATATACTGTAACTTCAAACAAGGCTGTCATCGCATTCTGCAACGTTGAAATCCCCCTCAATATCCTATCCGGCCGGATATAAATTCGGGGGATGAAATGTACCGCTACGCAGGTATTATACGCCGCAGTGCTTGAGAATACTGTGAGTTTCTCTTCAAGACTCAAGTTAGCCTTTGCTTGTATGGCGATGCATAATACTGTTATTGTGGGGATTCTCTGTGTACTTTCGCGGACGACTGCAAGTGAAGGTGAGCTAATGGAACACGCACTGGGGTAGCGTGAAGGGGACAACTGAGTGCCCATTACCTTCAAAGACGCAGGACTTGCACAATATTTAATATAGCTAAAGTTGGCAATAAATATTGGATAACAAGAATGATAATTTTTAATAAGCTAGTAAACTCTGTCTAAATGGACTGTATATTACTATTGACCCGGAGATGGTCGAATTAGTACATGGAACAGCTAAAGCAACCTCTCCAAAGGTGCAGTCCATAGGCAGTTGTTCTTAGATTGTGGAATCCTCTAATCATGGAAACCGGTGGGACAGAATAAAGTGTGCCCAATTTTAATGTTGGTGTCCTTATTAAAGATGTTTAAAAAAAATTTATGCCATTAGAGGGAGGTTCCACTGCACATCCTATTGTGGCAAAGTGGTTAATGTAAGCTCATAGCTAAGCACGGTTGTAGTAATAATTTATATATAGAAAAATGAAGATGCGTACACGGACAATGAAGTTGCTCATGCTACATCCAAAAATCTTTGTGCCTAAAGTCCCAAAGCATGCTTTTCTGTATTATTTGGGTGTAGTTTACGTACATGTCGTGAGACTTTACAAAAAGTAAGGATGAAGCTATATCTCGGAATAGGCATTTACCCGTTTCCTCTTTTTCATGATGCTACATCCCTATACCTGATACCTTTATACTGGGATCATGTAATAACACAAACTTTTATAATATCATGCAGTCACCTTGCATATTAAATACACCATTATGTACTGTGGCTATAACAGTTTCTGCTGAGAGGTTTATTTCAGCTCTCCCATTAATGTTGATCGCTTCAAGGGACGTGTCACGTGGTCCAATGATAATAATTATGTATGTCCCTCACTTGCCTACATCTTGTATATTGGTGCATCTATAAGAGTAATGTGTTTTTCTGGTGATTATACAGACTTGTTTCTGACTTTGTCTGATGATGAGATTCATACTAAACATATTCTGATCACTGATGTTAGCCAGAGCAGTGGAGATACACTCATCTGTTGGTCAACTCGAGCTCATAGAACCTTCAGTTGGTTTCACCAGTTTAGAGGAAGTGAAGAATTGACTGAACTTCCAAGGGTTACTGAAAACAAACCCAGCTATTTTGGATGGAAGATTGAAATAGGGCGTGAATTTGGATATAACAAGCTTACTCTACTTAAAGAAATGGATACGATTCCCATTGAGGGAGTTTTCACCTGCTGTGTTGGAAGTGATCATGATCTAGACAGTGTAGACAATTCTGAGGCAGTCTCTGTGGGGATTCATTATTCAAGTAAGTTGCACACAACTAACATGATTGCCAGCAGTGATTTACTAAAGTTATTGAGATTAGGTATTTACTAGGTTACAAGTGCAGAATCTGTCCACACATGAATACACAGCAAATACAACACTATCAAGCATACAGAATTTAATACACCACCATGCTTGAATACTGCCTACGGGAAGTATCACACAATATCAGCCATTAAATAACACAACCTATAGCAGGACTTTTGGTTTAGCAGTTGCTTGTTTTACAGTCTCCATTACTCTGTGCCTGTTCTTCCAGACTGTGTATACTGTATTTCTAAGGGACTCTGTTGCAGAGCACTCCTTTTATTAGATTGATGTTATCAGAGGATATACACAGGCCAAGAGGAGAAAAAAGAAAATTTTTATTGGGAGTTAGTTGTAGTTCAGCGCAAAGTGGACTTCAGTCATAAGCTATCACCTGAGTTGAATTCCAGCAAAGTTGTTACTTTCTCTTGTCCCATTAAGCCTTTGTATTTCCTCCGTCCTTCAGACTACTGTCATAAACACACCAGCATGATTACCAATCTATGCTGATCATAATAGGTCCGGTGACAAAAGATATGGGTTAAGCTGCTCATAGAATTGAAGCTTCATATGCACAATTTCAGGCCGGACAAAAAGTAATGGTGCTGACAGATGTCCCCATTGAGTTGTTACACGAATTTCAGCGATTTTACCATTAAGATCCCAGATTCCATTAAGTTACTCCCTAAACCCCTGTTGCAAATTGTTTTGAACACCGATAGCTATCTAACATAAAAAAATACTTGTACTTGGAACACAGAGGGGTGTGTTGTTGATACGAGGTGTAAAAAAAATGTCCAGTGCAGTCCTGCAGAGAGCCAAATACCTGTTTGGAACTGGAGAGAACTTGAAGTACAATGTCCATTAGTCAAGACTCATGTCTCGTAACTACAATGTGCTAGATGTAGTTCGTGATGCCACCTCTGTAATGTTGTGATACTAGTCTATACTGAAATAGCAGCCATAGTACTAGGGCCATTGACCACGCACCCAGAACACTGGGCGAGGTATTAATCTCAACGTGCAAATCACTGAATAGATGAAATTATGTGTCAGTTGTTTATGAAAGTTGATCTCTCTTTGTGCAGTTTTATCAGTTACAGGGAGTATTCAAAGTCTGGAGGGAGGTAATGGGAAGTTCAGAGTGATTTGTACGTCTACTGGAGGCAGCCCACTGATAATGTCTGTCACTGGACCATCTGGTGTTGTGGAGAACATGAAGAACATTGTTGGAAAGGGAAGTGTGGAGTGGGTAGGTAATGATACTTTCTCAGCAGAGGTTATTAGGACAAATGGAACTCATGGAGATGTGTATGGTTGTATGGCATCTAATGGAGTGTCTAATGCTTCACACAGTTTCTCTCTGAAAGGTTTGTTTATAGTTTTATTGCAGAGGGTGATACAAAGTTTTATACATGCAGTTGCTGGGAGTCCAACTCTAATTTTAGTAGTACAGGCATCAGTTACGTCAGTGATAGTGGAGTGGAGTCAGCCACCAGGAGGAGCCACAGTGACTGGATATTTAGTACACTACAGTCATGGAGACAGCAACACGACTAAGAGTAATATGACTGATAGTACTGCTAGTAAGAGCGTACCTGGATCTTCTACTCATGCTCTGATTACAAATCTCACTGAAATGTTATAACTACACATTTTCTGTTGAAGCTACCTCAGAGCACCTCTCTCGAATGTCAAAGCTATTTTTTTAAAAACTAGGTATGGAAATATGAAAATATACTAGGGCCAATTCATGTTAGTTTCCATCACCCTTGTGATTACAGGGTATTTGTGTGGAAATAATTCTCCCTCTCCAATTCAGGTGAATCAGACCTATCAGTGAATGTCACAGCTGAAGCAGTGAGTTCAACAGTCATCTCAGTCCAATGGGACCACCTGAGAGCCTGTGGTCCAGTCAGTCAGCTGTCTGTTGAATTCTCAGTGAAGTACACTGCAGTGTCCAGTGCTGTCTCTGACATTATAGACAGAACTGCAGAATTAATTGTATCATCAACTGAGGCAATGCTGACTGGACTCACTCCATACACCAACTACTCCATTACAGTAGCTGTAGTGAATGAGATGGGAAACATGGGACCATACAGTTACCCCACCACTAATAGAACCTTGGAAGATGGTAAATAAAGTCTAACAAACTATTATCAATGCCTTTCATATAATGCTGTTTTAGTTCCTGGTCCAGTAGGTGCAGTCACGGCATCTCCCTCTTCGTCTCAAGTAACCCTGACATGGGAGCCACCACTGATGCCTAATGGAATAATCATAGCATATGAGGTTTCCTACAGACAAACAGTTTCCTCAGAGCCTGAGACTAGAGTGAACTCCTCTGCTCTGGCCACTAATTTCACCACAGAGAGCAACCTTGAGGAGGCCACTGAATTCATCTTCTCTATGAGAGCCTACACCAGAGTCGGACCTGGAAATGCTACCTCTCTTACTGTGGCTACATTAGGTGCTGAGTAATGTAAGAAGGACTGTTAGCTACTGTTTCCTCTCTTAAAATTTCTAGAATCCTCTATCTTTGTGTTTTTTATTTGCAGTTCCAACTTTAATCAAGACTGGTGCGTTACTTGGAATTGGAAGTGGTGTAGCATTAATTGGAATCATTATTTTTGGAATTGCCATTTCCTGGACTGTATTCAAAAGGTAACATCTTCATTAATGTTATGGAGAGTTTACAAATCCTTTTTAGATCACATCGCAGAGCCAAGCCAAGATTGTACACAGAGGATAATCCAGCCTATGGTGTAACTCTTGGTGTGAGATACAAACCATCAAGAAAGACTGATTCATCACCTACCCATACACAAGAGCCTGTGTATGATACAATCAGTTAGTAACATGCCTTCACCTGTAATCATTAATAGATCGTTTACGTACTAAAAGAAGAGTTACTGTTTCTCTGTGATTTAGGAATGCCATTTTGACAAAAAATTCCTATCTGAGGGAAAATGCCAACTGCTGCATTCATGTATTTACAGTACAGGCTGAAGCGACTTGGACCATGCAAGCAACATAAACCACAAGCATGACAAAAGAGGGAGATAGCAACCATCTAAAAGGCAGAAATTGTAGAGGTGGTGCGTCATGGTTTTCAATTTAACAAATGAATAAAAAAATATGGTCGAATTAATATAATAATAATTATGGTGAATATAGGGATGGTATAAAAAGCTAAAAAGCAACTGACAATACAGGAATGACCTTGTGTATGCAGTAGTACAATGGATAATGGCTCCATATATATATACAAGTGGAAAAATCATTTCTTCAAAATAAAGGGGGATGTAGGGATGGTGTAAATTATGAAAAAGGATGCCAACAAGAAGATGCTTCAGCCGACAACAAAAATCGTACATCCATCCCTACATCTTTCTTTCTTTTGCTCCGTATAAAAAAAAAAAGTGTGGTTACTTGTCATAGAGTATGTAAGATACATTATTCACAACATAATTATCACAGTAGAGGTTGTGACTGTAAAGAAAGATGTAGGGATGGATGTACGATTTTTGTTGTTGGCTGAAGCATCTTCTTGTTGGCATCCTTTTTCATAATTTACACCATCCCTACATCCCCCTTCATTTTGAAGAAATGATTTTTCCACTTGTTCCACTTATTTTTTGCGCATACTCAGCCCCACCCTTTTCGGGCTGCAGAGCGAGGGGGAGGGGCTGCTGCGGCGCACACACACACACGCACACTGTACGCGCACGCACGGCGCGCGGGCTCCCTACCGGCGCGGCGGCGGCCAGGTGACGTTGCGCACTTGCGCGCGCCTCTCGCGCGCATGCGCATCAAAACGATATTATAATGAATGTGATTTGTTGTGCAAGGAGTTCACTCTTTTGAAGAGGTCTACCCCGCTGAAGTCAAAGGTGGAGGCCAAAGAGTGTAGTGGATGTGTAGTAGAAGCTTGTAGGGTCCAGGTCTGACAAGTGCACAGCACCTTAGAACATAAGATGGTATGCACCAATAAAAGAGTGAGGAATGCAACCCAAATTATAGTATAGAAGGCTAGGAGTAAGGTTTTACAAATAGCTATGTCAGCAGTGGTGATAAGGGCACAGTATGTGTAAAGTCAGCATAGTGATAAGGGCTGGGAAAACATTCAGAGCCCCACCTGCTATATAAGGCCCCTGATAAGCTGAGTACAGTGATCTCCTTCCTCTGACAGGTCACCCTCCTCAATTATTCCTGGTTATGGTTGAGACACCAGTGCCCCTTAGACAGAAGATCACAGCCTTTAAAGACCTGCAGAGGTAGAAAGCTTCCCAGGGTAAAACCAGATAATATATATGTAGTTGTAAGAAAAGAGGAGCCTATCCTGTTTTTGAGAAGGTTGCCACTAAATCAATCCTGTCCCAACTAGGGTGTGCAGCTGCCATCAATATTTGGAGAGATTGTGTTACGTATGATGAGTTGACTATCAATGAACGTCAGAAAAGTGATCCACAGTTTTCCTCCATGTTGGACTGTGTGAGACGTGGTTGTCCAACCAAGGAAACTGTGAGTGTGTTGAAACAGAGGGTCATACAGGTGTCTAAGCCTAATAGTAACCACCTTGTTCAGAATACTATGTGAAGGTGCATGTAGGAAGGGTGCTGATATACTGCATACAATAGTTATGTGCACTGATGTTTAGGTGAGTAGTGTGTAGCTTCAATGTAGTAGTACCCCGGCAGGCATAGCTACTGACTGTAGAGTGCACTCCTCAAGGGAGGAGGATAATATTCTGTCAGAGCTAAGACCAGTCTCCTGAGGGATTACTCACTACTGTTGGCATACAACACAATTGTCAGTGTACAGACATTCACCTCTAACAGTGTGCTACCTCAACTTTGTGATGCAGTTACAGTCCCCTAAAACTTTGTGGTAAAGACAGTGCAGTTTCCCTACACTTGAAACCAGTCAGCTCCATGAAGTCTGAGACTTTAGGAGGGTGGTTAGAACATGAAATGGGGAAGCCACCTCAATAAATTGCAGGGACCCACCCTCTTCTTCCCCAACATGTTCAGAAGTCATGTACAGGACATGTAAATCGCACTTTCTACAGTGGTTATAGCATGAAATGGGGAAGCCACCTCAACTAAATTGCAGGGACCCACCCTCTCCTTCCCCAACATGCACAGAGACACAGAGAGCCTATGTATAGTCTATATTAGCACATGTGGCTTCTTTAATTCTTTCTTATGGAACCAACAACATTGAAGTGGTTTCCTGTGTGCAATAGATACATAGACCTCTGGTGAATGTCATCCATCAGTTGTCTGTCGACATCATGAGGAGAGTACCGCTGCCACTGCCCATGCTGCTGGCTGTATGAGAAGACAGGGGTCTGGAGCAGGTGTGCCAATGACAGCATCTCAATGTCAGTTCCCCAGGTGCCATCTTGGTCCATACCTGTGGAAGCTATATAACTTTGAATACTGTCATAGCCTACGAGATGGTGGCCTAGGAAATATTGGGCATTATTTGTCATGTGGTCAAGGATAGCATGTCGTACACCAATATGCTGTTCTGCAGACCCTGTCAGAATGTAAGAAAATGCTCGAAAGAGGCAGTTACCATCTCCCTGTACGCGTCTCACACTACGCATGTCTGGACGTGTGAGGGGGACAGCGGGTCCTCCTGGTCTTACTGGTGTTTGTGTACAATATTGGAGGCCCAGCTCTTGGCATGCACTTTGCTGCCACTGTGCATCTACAGAGTGGAAATTGAAAGGAGTAGCAGCAGGTGTTTCTGTACCTGTAATAACACAGTCCTCATTATCCCTTGCAGATGAGGGATTCACCTTGACCTTTTTAACACTTGGGGAAACAGTTTTGTCTACACCAGTGAGCTTCCTCTTTCTTATGTGTGGTATATCATACAGAGGAAGATCAGGTCTATGGGTTTTTCTGAGGCGGTTTACTTCCCCCAGGGAACTCACACTAACACTGATGGACTGGGGATCAAAGGCTGTTAGGAACAGACCATCTAGTGACCTAACCCTGGATAGAGCCACATATGCCATTCCATCACTGAATACCTCCTCAGACAGGTCTACTATGGCACAGTCTAATGACAGACCCTGACACTTGTGGATGGTAATTGCATAGGCTAAAATGAGAGGGAATTGTCTACGATACACATAGAAATTCTTCATCACCATGAACCTGCTTCTGACCTTATCAATCTTACATGGAGCAGGTACATTATCAAACTGCACTGTCACATGCTGGGCTGCTATTGACAGCACTGTACCAATAGCACCATTGACCAGCCCAGCCTTGGTGTCAATGTTGCGACGTAGCATGACTCGTGCACCGACTGCAAGAGACAGTTTGGCTTCCAACCCAGCTGTCATGTTGCAGTCAGCGTTCAGTTTATCCAAATGCTCAATGACCTTCTTGGTCATCTTCCTATTGCCTGCTGTTTCGTCAATCTCATCAGTACAATAAATGTCATGCACTTCGGAAGCATTCTTGCGGAGCATTTGTGCATTTAGGTCATCACACGCTTTCCTCTTGGGAAATAAGCAAACAGGTGCCTTGCCAGACTGTTTTAGCTCAGAAAACTTGTCTGAGACAGACACCTGTATGACCCTCTGTTTCAACACACTCACAGTTTCCTTGGTTGGACAACCACGTCTCACACAGTCCAACATGGAGGAAAACTGTGGATCACTTTTCTGACGTTCATTGATAGTCAACTCATCATACGTAACACAATCTCTCCAAATATTGATGGCAGCTGCACACCCTAGTTGGGACAGGATTGATTTAGTGGCAACCTTCTCAAAAACAGGATTCCCATGGACAGGAGGGAGTTGGAGGAGGTCACCTACAAACAGCATGTTCCGAGACCCAAACCACTCACTGCTACCAAACAACTCCTCTAGCCTCATGTGTACAAAAGCCAGGTTGATACTGGAAACCATTGAAATCTCATCTATAATAAACAACTTCACTTCAGAGAGAGTTGCTCTCATGATCTTCTGGGATGTTTTGGGCAGTGGCCAATAGCTAGTGGCTCTGGTAGCATGCTCAACAGGGAGTTGGAAGAGTCTGTGGATAGTGATACCTCCGACATTGAATGCAGCAAGCCCAGTTGGTGCTGCAATACCACAGAGGAGGCCTTCACTATTCCACAGACTGTTCACTAGGGCCTTGATGGCCTCAATGAGAAACGATTTACCAGTACCACCCACACCACTAACAAACAATCTAAGAGGTGCAAAATCACACAAACACTGTTTTGCCTCGTGACACTTTTGGTGCAGGAAGTGAGCCTTGACGTTCTCAAAGACTCTCTTCTGGTCCTGATTCAGCATGGACACTCTCTCATCTAGAGTCAGCTGACCAGGGGTACTGGCTTTCATGTCTAGAACTTCTGTCATGGCTGTTCTAGCTTCACCTAGCAGCTGAGGCTCATTGTCTTCTTTAGCTTCTTTTTCTTCCATGTTGGCCTGACGCGCTTCATTAATGCTCTTTACATTTGATGCTGCTGCTAACACTGTCCTCAGCTTCGAGTGGTAGCTTGAGCTCTGGCTAGTGAGTAGTCTATGAAATGCCTGCTCAGCTGTCTCATTACCCTGCAGTAAACTACTCTCATCTCTAAATGGAGAGAACAGTAACACTAGGGAGTAGAAATAATCTTGTTTCTGGTTCTCATTTTCAGGGTCAAAGATTTTGTGGTTAGGGAGTTTAGGCTTGCTAAGTTTCTTGTACACTCTCTGACCATTGGTGTCTATACCCTGAAACTCATAGTTGGCCACAAAGTCATACAAACAAACATTCTCAAGGGGGCTGGTCTCTGAGGATAGAATGTATCTAGGACATTATCCTCAAAGATGTTCTGATTATCTGGGTTCAGCCTAGCCATTTCTTGTAAGACTTTGTGGTTCTTCAGTCTACGGGATCTCTTGTGTGGCATGGAGACGTCTACCCACTTGACTGTGTCAGACTTCTCAGTGAGGTGGTCTCCCAGCAGTAGATCACTGGCCTCATACAGACCACACTCTCTGAACCGTAAACTTCTAACACCAAAGCTGAAAAGGCGACTGTAAATGCTCTTGTTCTCACTAACTTCCTGCCAGATGTCTTGCATGTTGCTACGCTCAGCCTTGGTGACATAGCCACTGACATAGTGAGCAAGAGCTAGAGAGGCTTCGGCTACAAACTGAATGTCTATATTAGCCTTCCACAGCATCAATAACAGTGGGTTGTAGTCATTCACCCTTGTTTCAGCCAGAGTACGGACCAACTGGTAAATTCGGTTACGGGATTTCAGGCTCTCCTGGACGGGGTTGAGCTGAGCAGTCTCACACACTGGCCTGGGAAACCCGAACCTACACCTGGTGATGAATGCTGTCTTTCCACACCTTTTCCGCCTCTTACAGTACTTGCTGCACTTGTGCATCTGGTACCTGGTGACTAGTCTGTGCAGCTCAGGGCTACCCTGTTCATCAGGGATGTGGCAGGTGATTCTATCCTGGATCCAGTCTAGCACCTTCTCGGGATCGTCTCTATCAATGAGTGGTGCATCTCTAATCCAGAGTAGGACATGGTAATGAGGAGCCCCACGATTCTGATACTCCTTCTTCCAATAAAAGTGGTCTACAATACCCAGGACCTGACCTTTCAAAATGACCTTTCGGAAAAAGGCATGGAATTTGAGGGAAAATTTCCTGGAAACTGAGATTGGGTCCTCAACACACAGCTTCCCAATGTTGTAACTGGGAGGAACATTGTTCACTTTCCTAAGAAACTCAGTGATATCAGGGGACTCATACTCAGCACAGCTAAAGGTGAGGAAAAGGGTAGGCGAGCCCCACTCTCTTATCATGCACTTAAGCTCACTGTGTCTGAGGAACCAGAACTGTTTAGTACCACGGACTGACTGGAGCATTGTGCACAAACGTGCTTCTAGCTGCTCGTCTGCGGTGTTCACCTGCTCTAGTAACATGTTAACAGACATGGACTGTCTCCTGGTACTCTTTAACAAATTGTAAACACCTGATGCGAGTTGTCGCATTTCCTTCTGCCACAAAAGGTAAAACACATATTGTGCATCTTTACGGAAACGCGAGTCCTTGTTAAGCAGCCTAGATTTCACGTACTCACTAGGAGAAATCTTCTCTTTTCGAGGATGGAACTCTCCAAATTTCCCAGCAGGGAAGAGCACAGGGAAACACATGACATCTAAATGCTGCTGCTTGTTGGTAATAGGGTCCTCTGTGATGCTCATAAGTCTGTACTGCTCTAAGTCTGAACCAATGGAGAGCTTGCTATCCAGGTTTCTAATGGTGTAGGCCTGAAACCCATCTACCTCATCTGGGGAAACCTTTTTCAACATTTCTGTGGTTGCATTGTTAGAGACCTCAATGATGTGCTTAGTGCTCTCATCAATGCATTTCTCACTGACATCTCTGTACAGCCAGTTACAAGACCTCAACTTTCTTATTGCAGTCTTAACATGGTTCACATCCACCAAACTACGCCACACAACATTACTCTTGGTTGGCCTACCATTGACAATAATGTACAACTCAGGGTCAGGTAGGACAGAGGTATGCTGTTGAACCTTGTTTAAGGTTTCTATGGTCTTGTTTAGTGGCAAGGGAAGGAAAAACATTGTGCCTTTGCAGGCCTGCAGGGAATTGTATCTGGGCACTTTACCAGTGTAAGTACCTAGTCTCACAACAGTCTGATAGCACTTTGCCCTCTGGATAAGCTGTCTACTAAGTAGGTCTAATGCAGCCAGTTCTGGGGGAATGGGAACAGTCTGCAGACCATTGAGGACACAACGTGCAGGCATTATCCCAGCTCTCACCCTGCGCTTGCAGTAATAGCACATGTACAACACTTGACCTGAAACAGTTGGAGGATACTTCAAAATATGGGCCTTCAATTGACGCCATATCTCAGAGTTAAAGTCATCAGAGAGACTAACAACAGACACTGACTTTCTCTGATGCAGACGCTCACAGCAAATGCATGCATGCTCTGGGAAGTCATCAATTTCCTTCTCAAACCCAGCAATCAGTGCTGCATGCGCAATAGCTAGTTCCATCTCTAGATTAGGCCTCCTAAGAGCTGAGCATTGAACAGGAGTGAGCTTTTGATAGTTCTGCTCTACATTACAACTCAGGAGGGACTCGACCTGTGTGATTTGTAGCAATCTCTGGTGGTTACCGTTCTTCAAAGCGTTGTCAATATCACGCACAATCCTGTGAGCACTCAGAGCAGATGTTACATGGGCCAAAAACCTCCTCAAAACAGGGAAATGAGTGGAAGCTGCTCTGAGTATTCTCAGGGTACTAGTACAGCAGCTCACCAGAGTAACAAACAATGGGGTGTCCTCTAAGGTCCACAGGCGCAGTATCTACTAATTTGGTGTAGTGACCATAGGGGCAACCCATATCACATTCAGCCAGGGCCTGCCTGACTTTCTCAACAGGCTGCTCAAAAGCTGTCCTAAAACAAACAATGGCATTGACCTCAAATTCACTTAGTGGTTTGCACTGCTTTGAGCACTCCCACATCTTAGACTGGGCAGGTCCCTTATCAGAAACTTTCCCATCTGAAACACAACCCACACTCCCAGCCTGAGAAAGGTTACTGTTGGAGGCAGCATCTTTACCTTCTCCATTCTTACTGCCAGCCTCCATAGGCACTTCTTTAGCAACAACACACTCCCCCTTCTCATTAACAGGGATTGGGGACTCTCTAACATGCAGGTAGGCTGCCTCATAAAAGTAAGGCTCTGTCAAACTAGTGTGGCAGCCTTTTCCAAAATGATTGCATTCTTTAAATGTAATAGACTTAATCAGTTTAATGCTAGCCAGCAAAAACCCTGCATGTTTCCTGCGTATTTGTAAGGCTTTGCAAACTAGTCTTTTAACTGCAAGTCTACCCAACTGTCTGTTCCAACTCTGCTTTACTTAGTGTATCTGCTACACCAGCATGCAGGGACTTGAACTCTTCTTTGAGTCTGTTAAACACTTCACCGTCAGCTAGCAGGTTGGCGTTAACACTCCTATAACACTTTTCAATCGTCAGTTGGTTAGGCTGCGCCAAACTGTATCTAGCCTTTGTCACTCTCTTTAGTTTGGTATGAGTGTGATATTTTCTGAAATACCTTAGCCTGGCACTGCGATGGGACGCGTGATACTCTTGAAATGCTGCCAGCCTGGCACTACGGTGTGAGGCATGATACTCCCGAAACAATGCCTTCGTTTTTTCAGGGTTGGCTTTATAAGCTGCCTTGGTAGCTGCACGCTTTTGTTCAGGATTTACATCGTAAACTGATTTTGCAGCGGCCTTTCTTTTATCAGCATTATCTCTATATGCAGCCCTATCAGCAATATTTTTCTTCAATGGGTGCAACTTATACAGGGCCCTAGAAGCAGCCTTTTTCTTATCAGGATCTGCAACATATGAGGACTTAACAGCTGCCTTTTTCTTACCAGGCTCAGCACAATATGAGGCCCTAACAGCAGCCTTTTTCTTATCAGGGTCTGCACATATGAGGCCCTA